AGCATATATTCTGTGTCTCTGATTTTTCCTTTCAACTACCATAAAGTTCCATTTGGAGAATAAGAGGAAGGCCAAACCTGAATCTGGTTTATCGCAGCTTGTTACCATGAGCACCAACCCTTAAAACACAAGGTTGCCTTCCATAAATACTCTCTTACTCTTTCATCCTCAGTGTAAGTACATACAAAAGCCAGGACGGTATTCTTCAGCGCTTGTCAAGATGGAGTAATTCCACTGAATATGGGTGTTTGTAATGTTGACGGAGGTCCTGACGCTGTGTCCTGTATTTCGGCATAAGCCTCCTTGGGGACTCAAGTCTTAAAATAAAGCATTGGAATACCTTTTCCTTTTCTTAAGTTAGTTGATAATGAGTAAATTATACAATGGATCAAATTCTGTTTTGGTGTTTACATTTCAATGTTCTGGGGAGAAAAAATACTTGCAGATGTGTCATATAGACAGCATTAACATTTTTAATGAAGAATTTCATGCATTGATTTCATTTCTGTGAAGAAACATCTTTCAGCCAGGTAGTCCTCCAGATGAACTAACACAAATTTCAGAAGAGGAACATCGCTCTCCTTTTTTCCTTAATTTTTCCTGGCTAGTTTTCAGCTCCTGTGTCTCACCACAGATATCCAGAATGTTTGGAGATTTACTTTCTGTCCGTCTTGGCCTCCCATCCTGCCCTGTTTTAAAACGTATTCAGCTCTTCCAAACAACTCCAAATTTTCATTTGAAAAGAGCCTGGGAGAAAGTTTCTGTCTCCCATGAATGGAATAAGAAATGCTGAACTCATGGATTGGATAGATTGTAGAGGAGAATCCTATTCTAAACAATAAAATAGCTATCAAGTGCAGTTCCTCTGCTCTCTTTTTGGAGTAATTTTTAAATTCAGTTATTTAATACAATTTCTGTAAATCTTGAAAATTGACAGGAACAGAATGGACTGTACAGTCTCTGTGGTTGATGGAAATTTCTACTGCCGCATCTCATAGTTCTTCCCTGGAAAGAAGGCATTGCTGTCAAAGAAATAGTAACTGTCACAGACTAGTATGTTGGAGTAAGTCTATAGACCTCAGAAAAAGCTGCCTTTAGGGTAAATAACGCACAAGTAGCAAAAAATAAATAAAAGGCAGTGATGTGAACTAATAAAAAAAAAAACATCAAAAGAATTCTCAGAAGTCCTACTATGAATTGAGTGTCAGAAGAGTTGCTGAGTTTCAGTAGCAGATCTTTTTTTTCTTTCTTTTTTTTTTTTTTATGGAGAGCTTGTGAGGAAGGCTTGCTTGATAAAAATAAAAATACGTTCTTAGGAAAGACATTAGCAAGCTTTTCATATTTTTCTTTTACAATCAAGAGAAGACAAATTAGTTCAGTTGAGTAGGATGACAGTATGTCAGACAGCTTTTCTCACTCGCTTCTACATTCTCACAGTCTTGCTTCTTTGTGTCAGAACTATTTTCATCTTGGGTGCCAAATGTGATGAAATTAGGAGGTTTTGATATTCGTGTCTTAGAGCCTAGTTAATATTAAGATGCTAATATTAATAAGGGAATGCGAATTACAGTTTTTAGTTCCTTTCCTGTGGGAGTGAAATTCTACAGTCTAATGTTTTGAGTGCCAAACATATTTTACATTTAGGAAAATCTGCGTACTGTATTGTTCAGAAATATTTCAGACTTAGCATTATTATTCTATATTTCTGTGTCTTTGCATTTACATAATTCATTACAAAGTGGAAATTTAAGAAGAAAAAACCCTAAGGAGGCAGGTTATTTTTAGCCATTCTTTATTGTGTTTAGGTCACGTTAGGTTTCTGAAGAACAGAAATTAATGACATCTAATTGCATAGCTTATGATTCTGAAAGGAAAATATTTATCTGTACTAACCCTGGCAAAATCATTTTTATATACATGGCTGAGTGTAATAGCCTAAGCAAGTACAGGAGTTTTGCATTCACTTATGTCATCAAGCCAATGGAATTAATATTGGGCTGTATATTTATCTTCTATAATACATTACAAATCCCCTGAAATATTTCCTTAAAATACTAGGGCTGAATAACAACAAAGTAGAAGGAAGGAGGGAACCACAGATAAAATAAGAAAAAAGTTAGAAACTGGATTTAGGATGTCAATTGTTCTTTCATTTTGATTCCTTCTACAAATTTTTTTTGACTTGTGCAACTTTCATACTAGCATTTAAGTAAACTGTAAACTCTTCTAGTGTTTATTTCCCCCAAAGATACGGTAATTCTGTCTTCCCTGTGGAAGATCATCCTAAGGATTTCTGTGGGCTTCTGGTGTTAGTAGCCACAAGTTAGTATTCCATATCAGGGGGCTGTGAGTAATCTCTGCAGAGCCGGAGGATTAACTAGCTCACCAGAAGTAAAATACACTATTTTGTGTTACAGTAAAATGCCATTTGACATTTGTATTTTCTTCCCTGTGGAAGATCATCCTAAGGATTTCTGTGGGCTGCTGGTGTTAGTAGCCACAAGTTAGTATTCAGGGGGCTGTGAGTAATCTCTGCAGAGCCGGAGGATTAACTAGCTCACCAGAAGTAAAATACACTATTTTGTGTTACAGTAAAATGCCATTTGACATTTGTCTTTTCTTCCTTTGCCACCTGTCCCCATCCACGCCACCACTAGAGATCTTCCTTTTCTGCCACTCTGTTCACTTTATTTTTTTCATGCATTGGCTGCTAAGTGCAAATTTATGTTCTGTAAAGCATCCTGTAGTGCTTCACTTTCCTCTACCTTATTCTTGTCCTATGCTTTCCTTAGATCCTCCCATTTTCTCCTTTCTATTACTTAAAAGAGATCACAGTTCAGGTTTGACAAATCCTTCCTCTTTTCTCCTTGGATTAATTCCTTAAAGTATTTTTCCATGAATTATTTCTGACTAATTAGTAACCTGTGGCTGTGCCTTCACACACTCTAGGGTTTGGTTTACACATTGTAAAATTCTTCTACATCTGTGACTATATAATATTGAACCAGAAATTATAACTGCTAATGGAGGTAGGCTGATACATACAATCTGAGAATTTAGATAATAATAATTAATGTTCAAGAAACAATGGTCATTGGTTTGTTGTTATTTTTGCATCCATTATTGATTTCTCTGCCCAATGTAGAAATGGGTGGACAAGCAGGATGACAATAGAAGTATTGTTTTTATGTCCATGGTAGGATTTCTAAGATAATAGATTAACGCTACTGCTTATTTTGATGGTTTAAAAAATTATGTGTTGCATGTGATTACAATATGAATATTACTATTCTGGGGAGCGTTGCTGCTTGTGAGAGGCCTCAGTTGACAGGGTTAAGTGAAGTGGAGGTGATCCCAGCTTTGTAACCTTTCCCCTCCTGGATTAAAGTTCAGATGAAGTAGCCAAATATTAAAAAATCTCTGTTCCCACCCTATGCTTTATTCCTGTGCATGGGAAACACTGGGATAAATCAATCACGAGTTTAAAGCTAAACAAGAAATTACTAGTTGTTAAGGACAGAAATCCCGCTGACAGCAGTTTCAAATAAAGGAAATTTGCATGTTATGCTGTCAGTTTAAAACTGTAATTGGAAGCTGGCCATTTAATAGTTTGCTGCGAACAGTACTGTGTTTGATTTCCTGTACCCATGGAGCTTATCGGAATATTGTTGGTTTTTTACGAGGTGTTACAAAATTGAAGATAGAACTAAGGTGGATATTTGAAACAGTGAGTCAGCTTAGCTTAAGCAAACAGTTTTCTTATACGGCATGGCTGTGAAAGGTAGGAGATTTTTGTTGCGTGAAATCTCACATGCAGTGCAAAGGTTATCAATCTTACCTATCAACCAGTGTGTGGATGTCAACCAGCATAAGTGAGGCTTTCCTGATGGGTTATGTCATGTGAATAGTCCCTCATTCTGTTGAAGCAGGCTAATCCAAATTTTGAAATACAGGAGGAAAGGGATGGCATAGCCTACTTGCCCTAAGATTGAATTGGATATCTCGTGAAACCACGGGAAACATAGGGACCTTCTGTCATGACCCATCTCTGGATTATTCCTTAGCTCATTGATCCCTCTGAACCCCAAGGTAAATGGGGTTGGTTTTATGGATCTTGACAAAGGTTTTGACAAGTATTTTGTTGAATCAGGAGGGGCTTTCCTTAGGTTACAGACATAATTTATATAGGTAAATCCAGTTGCTGGACCTTTCTGAATTGCGACTGGTTTTTATTTATCTGTACGTTCAGTGGTGGTTGAAATAGATGAAAACAGTGAAGATTAAGGAATATTCTCATTACAGATTTTAATTATCAGTATTTTAAATTTGAAGGAAAAAAATAATTTGAGCAATTCAAACACAAATACAATTTCAAAAAGAAGTACTGTGCTGTTAAAGCCTCTGTCCCATCTAAGAGCTTACATTGTCCATGATATAAAATGTAGCAAGTGCTAGTAAAAATTATTCCATCTGGTATGGTTTAGATAGAACTAAAAATAGTTGATTTTTAGAATTCCACATGAGTATTTTTAGTCTTTTTTTTTTCTTGGTGGTGTGTGGAGAAGACCAGTTAAAACATTAATGATTTGAGTATGACTATGACTGCAAATTCCTGTTTGGTTCTTCTGGGGAGATTCCCGTGTTTGTCATGACAATTTAAGCATGCTTAACTAGAAATAGTAGTAACAGTAGTAATGTGTATCATGCAAAAGATACAGATTCACTTTTCAGTGTTTTTGTTTCCAGGGTTTATGAGAAATTGAGAACTATCGTGAAAGCCCTGGCAGAGACAGGGGTACTCACCTTTGACCACTAAGCTGGCACAGCATTGTTCTCAGTTCAAGTTCTTCAAGAATTCTAAAAAAAAAAAAAAAGAAGATATATTTTTTCCTCTTAGAAAAAGAGAGCATTCTGTTTTTCATTTATTCATTTTTGCATTTTATTGTAACTAAAATTCCTGTGTATTTTTAATTAATACTGTCTATTTTTCCACATTTCAGGGATACCACTGTACAAAGCCTTACCCTACAACCTTCTGTTAAAGGCGGTCTTATTATATATGAAGATTCACCACTGGTCAGTCGTAACATTTGGATTGTATATTTGGAAATGTTTTTCGTTAAAAACAAGTAGTTAAACATGCTGGCTTTTCAAATAAGAAAACTCTTTGTGATTTGATTACTTGCATGGTGTATAGTCAGTGAGTGTGGTAACATTTCATTAACTTTTACTTTGGTCATATTTGTCATGTTTGCTGTGCCAAATGCTGAGTAAGATGATAGTTTCGAGAGCCTGCATGCACAAAATAAGTACGGAAAATAATTTAGTATTAACCTGACACATTCTAACTGGTAGAGTGGTATTTTCCTCCTTCTCTTTTGTAGCATCTCACACCTACCTGCTAAGTTGGACTCCAAACAGCTCTTGCAGCCATTCTGTAGTTCTTTCAGCTTCATGTTGACAGTTTAGATGCAAACTGCTTTTGCACTTCTCTGTCAGCACTCCAGTTCATTCTCATTTATTTTCAGGCCTCCTCACTTCTCCCTAGCACATCCCTTTCCATCCCTGTCCTGAAGAAACAGAAACACCCACCTTTCTTGTCTCACCTGCTTCCTCTTCTCTCTGCTACAGTTCGGTCACAGCTTGTCCCTGTTCTGAGTCCCTTTCTTGTTTCAGTGCCACCGAGATGTCACTACTACTGACTGAGAAATCAGTAATGCAGTTTCTTGCAGTTATTTTTGGGGGGTTGTGATATTTTGATTCTTTTCTCTTCTAGGTAAAAGCAGTGAAGTTCGGACATATTTTGGTAATTGATGAGGCAGACAAAGCACCAACAAATGTTACCTGTGTCTTAAAAACTTTAGTAGAAAGTGGGGAAATGGTTTTGTCAGATGGAAGGCGAATTGTTGCCAGTAAGTAGATAGAAAGCATTTTGATCATTTGCAGTAACATGTAACGTGTCGAATTACCAAGTAGAGACCCAAAATAGTCCAAATGGAAAAAGTACTTGATGCTAAAAGGTTAACAATTAAAGAATTTACAATCATTTTCTTTACTACTTTTGCAGTAGCCACAGAGATTTTCTTAAATTAGCATTCTTGTTAATTTTGCTGAAAAATTAAGAAAAAAAAAAAACACAAAAAAACCAGCAAACTGTAAGTTAACCTCTCTGCTTCTCATTCACAATAAGAAATAAAGATCTAATTGACCAAATTATGATCTTGGTTATGCCCATCTGGACAGTTGAGATTTGATCAGATTTGATCAGATCTAGAATTGAAGATAAGAGTATATCTAAGGTTGAATTGTTAAGGGTTTCATCTAATCAAATATTACGTATGCTTATATTATTTAAATATATCCTGCAGGATGAGTGTATTTTGTAATTTAATGGAATTTAATTCATGTGAATTGCAAGAACTAAATATTTTTTATTATTTTTCAAAGGAAGACCATGTTTGAAATGCTCTCTTGATGTTAGTAGACACTGTACTTTACATAATGAGTTTCTTTTTAACAATATTGGGAACAATGTTTAAGTGTGAGTGGAGCAATCATTCAGCACTCACATGGCACAACACTTGAGTTTTGCTTGTCATTATAAACTGTAGGTGGGCATTTTTTTAAATATCATGCTAGCCAGTCTCAATTATTACTGTAGTTTTTTAGAGGAGGTAAAAGGATTCCCAGACTCCATGTGCCACTGGAAACATGCTGCAAGGGAACAAATGAGGCCAGTGTGACTCATTTTGGAGAAACAGAGTCCTCACATGCCTGAAATCATGTGTCTCTGGCTTATCTCAGATTTTTGTGATGACCAGGAGGAATTTCAGTGTTCCCAGATCAGATAATGTCAGGCCTATATAAAAACACATTTTATTCACCATTGGCTTCAGCATTTTGGTGAAATTAAATATAAGCAGGACAGGTAATCCCCACCCCAAGAACAGTGGATGCTTTTTTTTTTTTTAAATGAAGCACCTCGGTTAAATTTTCATGAAACAAATTATTAAACTTTAAGATGAAACCTAGAACACTTATAGTTGAATGACATGTTAAGAAGCTATTGAGCCTTTCTTTGTAACTGTTCTTCTAAGAACAACATTATTAGATTAGAAGAATTCTTCTAGAATTAAAAGAATTTAATTCTAAGAAGAATTCTTCTAATCTAATTATGTTCATTTAATTCATTCATGATGCAAAGCTTAAATATGCAATTAATAAATTTTATTTCTTTTGCAGATCATGCTTATGTAGAGGGGAGAGAAAATGTAATAGTTATTCATCCTGATTTTAGAATGATAGTCCTAGCAAACAGACCTGGATTTCCTTTCCTGGGTAATGACTTTTTTGGCACATTAGGTAAGCGATTCATATTAAATGGTGATCTTTACTAGAATTGATCAATAGAATGACTGTGTTTATTCATTAGATTTCATGTGGAGGAGGGGTCCTTGTGCATATCGATACTTCGTTTCACATAGGACACTCAGGGTGAGATTCAGCTTGAAGACTAACATGTAAATTTACGTAACTTAATAAAAGTACCTGAACTTGCCCTGAAGTGAACAGCTATATGTGGTCATCTGTGTTACAACTAATTTGTTTTATGGGACCTGGACAAGCACAGCAGACAGACAAGGTTACAAGAAATCTTTGTAAATGTGCATATATTTCATACAAATATAGCAAAAACTGTAAGCAGCTTGATACCTGGCATCAATGGTTAACACAACTGCTCACCATTTTTTTCCCCATATCAAACAAGCCACAGGCCAGGTGCTGTCCTCTTCAGTACAAGAGATGGGAGCTTGATGGATTGTTCTTTTCTCTCCTCTCAGCAGTGGAGGCTGCTGTCTTTTTTGGTGTTTGCACTATGTTACCTGCTTCTTAATCCCCATTAGCCTCTCCTTGCCCATGGCCGTGTGTGTTAGGCTTTATTAAAATATATACATTTGACAAGATATTGAATTCATCCTAGTTTCAGGTAAGGCTGTCCAAATTCCACATCAAAGTTTTTCGTATCAACAGCAGCCTCATTTCAGAATGCTCCTGGTAGGCCCTAAAAATCCTATGTGTTAGCAAGATTCCCCACAGCTTCATCTCACAGCAAAAGTAAGAATTTACATTGCATGAGGGTAAGTGGTGAAGAATTCATTGGCCTGTATAGTCCAGTGTTAGTCTAAGTGAGCCTCTGGCAAGGCTGTGGCAGTGTTACGGCAGGGCTACGAACTGAATAGCCCTCCAGACTCCACTGACTGTGTTATCTATGTTAGTTTAGCCATTTATGTGCAGGCACCTTAATTTGTGTGGTTTTATCTGTTAGCTTTGGCTGTAATGCTTATTCTGCAAAAAATAATAACGTACTTGAAAAAGCAGGTGCAAACCCAATTCTGTATTGCTTGATAGCTTTTTGTTTTTCAGATGTAGTTCCCAGTGAATGGGGAATCTGTGTAAGAGACTCATTAGCTCTGAATTTCACCCAGCTATGTTGCCGCAAGATGTTTTAATATAGCCTATTTCTTTTTCATGATCTAATTTCCCTCCTTACATGGACCCTTTAAACAGAATTGATCCCAGCGTTACTGCTTTTGGGCCCACATGGCAGAGGTTTGGTTAAGGTTTTGGGGTTCTTTGTTGGTTTTGTTTTTCAAGCATAGGGGCTGTTCTGCTTTTAATCCAAATCCTTTTTCAGAAACTGATCATGCTTCTGCAAAGTTTTGTACGACTGTTAAAGGACTCTTTACGAATAAACTCAATTTTATAGATTATATGATTGGGACCAATATAATGCAAATATATGAGAAGAATATCTTGCCAAATTTCTTACCATAGTTCAAGACAAGCAGAGAGAAAAGATACATACAGTATTTCCTCTAGGCCTTTCAATTGGGTTTGCATTAGGGCATTAAGATTTCCCTGCATCCTGTGGTGTTTTGAAGGTGTTCACAAACTGGTCGCATTCAACCTGTTATTCTTTCTTTAAACCTTTTTTCTTTTCTTTTTTTTCTGCATTCATTTGACTGCTGTTTATACTTGAAGTTAATTTCTCCCTTGTGAACACCTTCATTATAATGACAGGAGAGATCTCCATGTTTTCGGGAATCTTGATGTTTGTTGTAGCAAGTTTGTCCTTCACATTTTTCAAAGTAGTTTCTGTCTTGTTTTGTTTTAACAAGCAGGTACTCAGCATCCCCTTGAGCCATTGCTTTTCCATTTAAGGTGCTGTATGAAACTTAAATGGGCTGTTGTGATGCTATCTCATTTATAAATTACTTAACTGTGCTTTTTTTCTTTTAGGGGACATTTTTAGTTGCCATGCTGTTGATAATCCCAAACCACAGTCTGAACTGGCTATGCTTAGACAGTATGGTCCTGATGTTCCAGAGCCTATTCTTCAGAAACTGGTGGCTGCTTTTGGAGAACTGAGGAGCTTAGCTGACCAAGGAATTATTAACTATCCCTATTCAACTAGAGAAGTTGTGAATATTGTAAAACATTTACAGGTACAGTACATCAGATTTCATTGAAAACTTGTTTTCATCACTACTAATTTTTTAATGCTTGAAGGTTTTAGAAAAAGATGCAATTATTGTTCATGCATTTTTATTTCATTTTTTATGAAATGTTTTGCGTTTTGAAGGAATCATCATATTCAGATGTTCAGATAGTCTGTGGGTAAGGAGCGCAGATGTACACAGGCAGATATTTTTTCTGTATGTTTGTTTATAGATATAGAAAATACCTGAGAGTCTGTTTTTCCACTATGTGAAAAAATATCACATTCATACCGTGAATACAGTATGCAATGGTTGTACTAGCCTACATTATAAAAATTCCAGTTTCAGCATACAGTACTTCCAGAATTATGCAACTTTATGCTGCTATAGAATTTTTGGTTTTAATAATTTCCTGGGGGAAAATGACCCTTCTGCGTAACAGTAATACATCACAGATGGAATTTTTCTAAGGAAAATGTTAGGTGGATAACAATTTAGCAAACAGGTACTTATGAACTATGATTGCTTCCTACACACATTTTAACTGCAAAATCATTAATTCTGACTTAATGATGATTATTTTTTAAAGGTTACAGTAGAGTCTGACTTCTGTGTTTGTAAGTTGAAGGATACTTTTTGTCTGAAGTATTTGAAATATAAAGTATCTTAATGCTCTTTGAAATAGCAATGCTTTTATTTTGTTCTGTTTATAATCATAAAGTAGGAAATTTATTAGTTTATAGAGTAGTTCTTGAATTATTGAATCCAAGATCGAAAAATATTAATGGAAATATTAATGTAATTATTACAATTAGAATATAATTTCCCCTGAATTCTTTGGCTTACTGTTCCTGTTTAACACTGCATAGTATAACAGGGTTGCACGATGGTTTTGTGTTTGTGCTCATGAACATATTCACATATATTCACCCATATACACATTCACCCATAGACATTTAGATCCCGCAGCTTAGAATTACTACTTTTAAAAATCTTCAGTTCATCTAGATTTCTGTGGAGGACAGATTTTTGTACTCCGCAGTCTGTAGGGTGCAACGAAGTCTTGAGACAAAGTAAATTGGTGCTAACATAAAGAAAAAATAATTATATCTTTATAACTTTGTACTAAGGGTTAACAAAATTCAGACCTAAAAGCTGAGGAATCCATGCAAATAAACATGTAAGCAGAGTATTTTATTAAGATCCAATACCATTTGATAGGTGTTCGCTTACCAAACTTAATAGGAACGTGTACCATGTTGATTGTATCACTGATGTCTTTAAACACAGAGTTACATTTGAAATGAAAGGGGAAAAATTATGAACTTGAAGAACAGTTGCTGTGCTGCTGAAAAGCTGGTGGTTTAGGGTTTTTGTTAAATGAACTCCTTCCCGTCTTCATACTCTGGCTGGTCCTACATTCCATCCTAACTTCCTTCCTTCATCTTCTGTCTCCAAGTAATCTGAAGTTTGTGCTGTCTTCTGTCACCAACTGGTGCGGAAACATACGGACTTAATTCTTTTTTTCTTTGAGTGTGAAGAGCATCTAATTGAAGATTGGAAGAGCTGCATTGCTAATTGTCTTAAGGGCACTTACTCTCTGCTTCTGTCTTCTTCACTTAATCAGATTAGTATGGTCACTTTAACCTGGGCATTGGGCACAGATCAGCGGGGAAGTTTCCTGTCTGCTAAGTTTTCACCTCTTTCGAAGTCATGTGTAAATATCCAAATAAATATCCAACATGCAGCTTTGATTCTTCTGTAACATTTGTTTTCAAGATCCCAGTCTCTTTGAAAGGATGCAACATTTTGTTTACTGTAACTTGTTTTTCAATCTGAATAATAAAAAGGCTGGGAGTAGCCAAATGTAAACAATGAATATAAACATAATGGTTATTCCAAAGTAAGAAGCTTCTAGGTCTTCAGGTAGTGAAAAAAGAGGAAGGAGGGAAATGAGTCAATAAAATTGTTGGTCCTTAGGAAGGAAGGAGGGAAGTTAGTCGTGTTGTTAAACAATTTCCCTTACGGCAGTTCTACAGCCCCACTCTCTTTGTACTATTGTGTTGATTTCTTTCACATAATTTTGGAATTTTTTGCTTCTGCAAAAAAGAGTTGGTTGTTTTGGAGAAAAAATTGCTGTTGATTGCTGTTATCTGAGAGAGCATCTAAGCATAGGGGCTAGTTAGTTAAGAGAATATTCTGATTACTGTGACATCAACATACTATTAGGCTAGTCTCTGCACTCTGGTTAATTGTGGTCTTTAATGTATAGGATTGTGTCTATGGAGTGTAGTTACAAGAGCATCTTCCCATAAAAATTATGCAAGTAGGGAACCCATAGCAATTTAGTTGTAGCTTAGTCAGTGCATGCAGCGCTAGGTTGCCTCTGTACTAACTTTTTCTTAGGGAAAGGGTTTTTTGGTGAAGCCCAAGATACCAAACTGGTTTGAAGACCTAAAACTGCAGGCATAGGGAAAGTTGTCTACTGTGGCTGCCTAACTTGGTTGCTGCACCTGTTTCTTCCCACGGATTGTATAAGGAATTTGGGTCTTGCAGCTCTAGATTGCAGGTGACCTGAATACAGCCTTTTTGTCTCCCTCACCTGCAGTTTTCAGATTGTGTCAAATCTCAGAAGTATTGATGCTAGTAGTGGCTTATGGGCAAGCTGAGAAGCTCTGCTCTTGCTCCATTAGGTTACCATGTGTTTCCCGTAACTGCCGGTGTATGCTGTGACTGCTTCTCTGCAATCTAATGTACAAGTTTTCACAAGACCTTTCGTATGTTGTTTTGAAGAGTTCAGGTTCACCCTATGTCCCTGGTAGATGCTGATCAGGCAAGCCACGTTAGTCCAGATAAAATGGAAATAATTTTTCTGCTAACTCTATTTACTTTGGGAAAGCTGAGATTTTTCTGATAGGCCTTCTTTCTTGTTTGTATATGAGATTGCTTTCTAATAGTAGGCACTAGTATAACAATTTTCAAGCAGCAAATGTCTTAGGTACTTTCTGGCCCTGAAGTCTACTAATCATCAGGCTTTTAGGCCTGTTCAGTAAGCTTTTGTACTAAGATAGTACTTTTTCTCTGTTCAGCCTGTTCTTGAAAGGAAACAAGGCTTATCAAATCACAGTTTGTATCCCTTTCTCTCCTTGCTGCCCTACTCACATGATAACCACCTTTTATCCTTTTCGCCAACTGCAGTGAATCTCAGTTACCAGTTTTCAAAGATAATTAGGTTTCTGCTGGTTTAATCAAAATCAGTGGCTACATGACAGAGAGGAACAGACTGAAATTAGTATCCCTGTGAGTGAAAAGGCAAGGGGAGAATTCAGGTGTTTTGCTTGGCAGTAGATGATACCCATAAATACATGAGCGCTGGTTAATCAATTAGTATGCATGTCGCTCAGGATGAGCCATAGACGTGGTGCTTCTTGCCCTGCTGACAGGAAACTGAGGAGACACAGAGAGAACTGGCAGCGTTCAGTGAAAAGGCATCGGGGATACAGGGGGAAGCCAAGGGCACGGAGGAATGAGCAGGAAGAGAGATCTGCTAGTGTCGTGGGGCAGGGTGGGCCTTTGGGATGGTGCTGGCAGGATGGGAAATGTGCGGGCATCTGAAGGCACTAGAATATGTAGGGAAGTGGTGGTAGTGAGAACACAAGGTAGAAGTCTAAAACAAAAATCTGGACTCATTACAGACCCGATACCAGATAATTTGTCACTTTGTTTTCAGGGTAGTGGTGGAAGTACAGTAGACCTCAATGTGTATAGCATATTTTAATTAAGATTCTCTGTTTGTACTAGGAAACTACTATTTTGCTGATAGCTTTTAAGCAGACTATAGCAATACATGTACTCATGGAAAGTTAGATCCATAGAAATATGGATTTTTCACCAAACTGAGTTCTGTCACAACTCTATCAAATAAAGAAAAAATATAAAATTGTTAAAAGCAAAACCGATGTTACTTACTATTTTAAGGAATAGCCAAGAATCTAAGTTGTGAAAATACTCTAAGGTACGCACAGAGGTGCTACTTGTAAGGAGAAGAATCAATGAATGAGAACCAGACTGACTGATGAGAGATCAATATTTTCTCCAGTAATCTGGTTTTAAAAATCAATAGAAACCAAATGATTTCTTTTTTTTCAAATGTTGAACTCAAACATTCAACTTTTTTTTTTCTTTTTTTTCTTCAAGTGGACTGTCATTGCCTTTCTTCAGTAAGCAGTTGTCTAGGCAGTTATTAAAAAGTGGTTGGATTTGTTCTGATTGAAGCCAGAGAGTTGTGATTTTTTTAATAACTGAAGTAGAGGGCCTTTTGACAAGTGGCTTGTGTTCAGAACAGGTTTTGTTGACAGCAGCGATCAGTTGTACCTGTGGAAATAAATCTTTTATGATGTCCTACTGATCAAGAGGCATGGAACTGTTGAGGCAATTCATTAAGGAGAAGAGTAGCAATAATTACGCAATGATTCAGAAAACCGTGGACATACTTGGAGACTACTAGTGAAAACCAGATAATATTTGAAGCACTTGACCAAAGTTTCTGCAGTATCTAGTGCAGGGCAGGTAAAAGAGTATGTCATGAGTGAACAAGATAGCTTGGTGCCAGTTTGTTGGTTGTGCTTCGCAGTGAGGAGGGAAGAACACAGAAAATGCAGTATTCATCATCATAAATGTTCTAAAATAATTACTTAAGGAAAGGTTTTGCTTATATAGATTATGCACAATTCTGGACATGTTTTGTTCTTGTTGTCAACAAGAAGACGATTGAAAACAGACTGAGATAGGGTCATGCACACTGAGTACTAAGTAGCTTTACATGTTTTTAAACTTAACTGTGATGTACATTTTTAGAAGTCTGTGGGTTTCGGGGTTTTTTTTTGCGATATGATGTTTACTTTGACTCCAAAGTGCAATTCACATTATGGAAGTTAGTACTTTCACTACTGAACATTGTCACAAACTTTTTGCATTTATGTTACATGTGAAATGTTTATACAATCTTTAGCTGGAATAGCTGTTGGGAGAAATTTTATTTTTAGTAACCTGTTTCATTTGGTAAGGAATGGACATTGTAACCAGGGTGGCACAGGCAACTTTATATTATCCCATAATAACTTGTATTTTGCTAATGTGTAATAATGCAGAACTTCTAATAGGTTCCTCATGGACAGGTTTAAAAAGCAGGATGTAGCTTAGTGTGCATTTATACCAACATTAGTACTGAAATATTCTGTGGAATGTAGACCACAGATTAAAAAAAGGTTTGTGCAAGCTTATTTCTAGCAGTGGTATTCCATTCTACCACAGTAACTAGCTAATTTTATTATTACTTGTGTCACGGATATTTTATTTCAGAGATTAGATATTTATTAAGTTGGGAAAATATTAAACTCCTGACTAAGGCTGATGTTTCATTAAGAGTACAGGACAAAACATTTATGAAAATTTTATGTTTTCTTCTGGTTTAGTTTTTATTTCAGGACTCAGATATCTTTTTATTTTTAATGCTTTTATACATTTCTCTGACACTTCTGTTAAGTCTGGGTTTCAAGTTAAGGCTGGGTTTGCACCAGCCTTGCTCACTAATGGGGAAAAAACATAAGACTTCAGCTCCCTAAAATACTTCTTCACATGTTTATCTTCATCACTGTCAATGTGTCATTCTGAGATAGGGGCATCCATATCCTGGTCTCAAAGATCTAATATTTGAATGAAAGGTCTATGAAGAAAAAGTGAGAAATTTAAAATAAAAAGATTCTCATTCTCGTCTCTTGCCAAAAAAGGTAAAATAAAGCAGTGGTTGTAAAATTCTAGTACATATAGTAATTCGGTGATTTTTTTTAATTATTCTTTTTATTTACTCCATTTACATCTTACAAGAGTAAGATGATTTTTTTCAGATGTTTTATTAAAGAGTATCTATGAAAAGGCTCAGTGACTTAGAACATGTGTTAACATGTACAACTGAAACAGCTGTTTTTATCAATGGCAAATAAAATCTAAATTTTGCACAATACATATTCTGTTTAAATTACCTAAATGTACCTTTAAAAAATAAGCTTATTGGAGCCTGAAATTATGGCTGCATACATTAAGGTCCATGTTTACTGGAATCTGCCTTAATTTAAATGGGGACAGGTACATGTTTGCTATTGGAGTTTCAGGGCAAATCAAAAGGATTTACTGATAAGCACTTGGAACCAGTTTGCAGAAAGGCTAAGCCAGCTTTTGACACCTATGGTGTCTTCTGCAGGTACCAAAAAAAATCTTCTTCATTTCAGCTTATTCCTATTACATGAGTTTAATTGACTGCTCAGTCAAGGCTTTTAAGTCTTGCTGGCTTCTAGGTCTTAGTAGGAAATGAGAGGCAGAAAAATGTGTTTTCTTCTTACAAAAAAGCAATAATTAAAAGGTGTGGGAAGATGTGAGGGTCTGAAACCTGGACGAGCACACTGGCCTTAAATCATCAGTCCAGTTCAATAGGAAAAGTTTCCTTTGTTGGAAATAACTAATGAAAGTTTGATAAACTGTTTTTTCTTTATGTACACATAAAGAAACTATGAAAAAACTAGAAACACTACCTATGTTTCAGGTAGTAATTTTCACTAAGAAAACAAATGTTTGTGTATCTTAAGTGAATTTCTGTTTCTACTAAAATCCATCATGACCTAAAGTCATTTTCGTAAGTAAGCAGTGTATCTTTTGCTTTTCTATATCCAACATTAAGGATCAGAATTCTTAAATGAATTATATAGTTGAATACAAGAATATATGTATTTGTGTCAGATCTTCACGGTTAGCAGAAAGCAGTTCCAAATTTAAAAAATACATTAGTGTATGTTCCAATGATTACACCATCTTGTTATGTGCATAATGAAAATAATTTTTTAAAACATGAATGATGTTGAGTATTTAAATAATGTCTCCTGCTTGTTTGTTTAATTCGGGTTTAGTGTCAGTCACTTCATTCTGACTTGAAGCAATGTACCACCTTTATTCTGGAAACTAAAAAAAAGATTACTTGAGCACTTGTCTAAGTTGAGCAAAGTTACTGTTATAACTAATCATTTTAAAAGTATTTAATTATATGCTGTAACTTAACGGATATTCAGTAAAAGAAATTTGGGGATCTTTGTTTCTTCACAGAAATTTCCAACAGAAGGACTGGCAAATGTTGTTCGAAATGTATTTGACTTTGACTCCTACAACAACGAAATGCGTGAAATTTTAATCAACACTTTGCACAAATATGGGATACCTATTGGAGCAAAACCAACCAATGTACAACTGGCCAAGGAGTAAGAATAACATAAGATATATATTAAGACGACAGGTCTCTCATACTCACTTTTTAATAGTGTGTTATCTTGCTGCTAACTGATTTAAAAACAACCTGGAATACTTGAAGTCAATCCTCCTCTGGTTCAAATTTATTTTCCTCTAAATAAGTTACAATACAAATTACTTTATGATAGAGTATTTGCTTATTACTAATATTTAATCTTTAATGTCCATGTACGTATTGATAGTTTGTATGGCAAACAGATATATATTAATAAAGGGAAATACTTGTTTCTTCTCCTGTGTTTTTAATTGAATTGCAACACATTTCTGTCCTGTTATTTGTCACCTAAATTGGTAGCAAAAAAGAAAAAGTTATTGTCAGTGGTAGTGGGATTTTGTCTTTGATACTCACAAAAGGCTCTACAAAAATACTTCTGCAGAATAGGGCAATGCATGTAAGCTTGAAGAACCATTTTTGTGTGCGTCTGTATACACTATTATTCCTTAATTATTTTAACAGTTGACATATTACACCATATACTTTTTCAGAGGTTAGAATCAAAATACTTTTTTTTTTTTTTTTTAAAGACTAAACTAAACTGTGAAAGAGATTTAACTCGTTCTTCTACAATTCATAGATAACAGGCTTAAGTAGATCATATTGAAAAGCAATTAGAAAACTTACTCTGGCTTGAACTCTAATACATAATTTATTTGTGGAGAAACAAATATTTCCCTTTCATGAAGAAAGCTTTATGGATATACGGAAAATTGAGTTTTCCATGGGACATAGTATTTTATATTTGCTAAGGAGGGACTGATTCTTATGACATGATGTCTTGATATTAGGTGTCCATGTGTAGGTTTTTCCTGCTGGAGCGCTACTGTTATCATATCTAACATCCTACATATAACTATTAAAAGAAGATTGGCAGTGTAATGACTGTGGTGTACCTTTTCATTTTGATGACAGAAGAATTACATGCCAGGGGAGCCAATGCTTGAGCAACTACAGTGCCTGTCAAATTGACAGTACACGTTTGAAACTCTTGTAGTTTCTTTGCTAAAAGTCACTTGGTAATTTCTGTTTTAAAGAATTATGACGCTTGTCATAGTTTTTGAGAAATTTGCACTTTATATAATTTTTAGAAGTATTAGATGTGGATTTACATGGGTGGATTGGAGATGACTCTTTGGTAATGAGAAGATCAGAGGTTTAGGAAACATAAGAGAAAGACTGCTGTAAATGGAAACTGTTCAATCTAGAAGTGAGAAGATAGAAGAAAGATCTGATCATTTTGAATTGAGGATAATCACCTGATCGTTTTGAATCCATCACTGAGGTTTTATAGGACAGGTTACACCAAGGATGACAGACTTACAAGACCCCCACAAGACGCTCATCATAAACTTCACTTGACTGACAGCTGTGGGCTCATACTCTATGCACTGAAGGCCAAGAAGAGGAGAAACTACAGGAGCAGTTCACACACAGTTGATAAAAGCAACTTTTTCTTAGATCTCACCATGCAAGGTTGGGACTAGGCTGACCGCCTGGCTCTGATGATCCAGCAGTCAGTGTCTCACTTGCATCCACCACAGCTGGCATTTCAGATTATCCTGCTGCTCCATTCCAAGAAAGCCTTGCTGTTGGTCATGAGATTTAACCCTATGGAGCTTGTAAGTCACAGGTGTATCACCTTGAATTACAGACACATCTTTCAGGAATGGTTTAGGCATAGTTGATTCTGCCTTGGGGTAAAAGAACATCTAGATAATCTCTCCAAATCTGTTCCAGCCCATATTGCAAGCTCACATGATGGACACATTGAGGTAATTGGGTATGGTGTTTGGACCACTGCAGAAACGGTTCTTCCCAAAGCTGCTATATGTTTAGAACTAGAGTACTGACCTCCTCTATATTGTTTTCCGGGAATTTGAGAGTAGCATAATGGTGCTAATCCAGTCCATCCCACTTCCTTCAGAAAAGATGCAAATTAATCTAATACCTTCTTATCTTTGTCATGTTTCATGCCTGAAAACCTTCAGAGATGGAGTTCTGTAACCTCCCAAAGCAAGTCAGTCTTGTTCCTAAATATCCTTGCCATTAGAAAGTCATTTCTAGACTAAACGCATCCAGTTCACTCAATCTTCCCCCTTTTTAAGGCCTCTGGTTGTTTTTATTTTTCTTTTATGCCCCCCCTCTCCACTTTATTCATGTCTGTCTTTAAGCATTGTGCGTGAAACTAGGCAGGTTAGTTTCTGCTAGAGCCGAGTAGAGTAGAATGAGAGTATAGAAGAGAGACGTATTTCATGCAGCAGTCCCTTTTAAAAACCCCAGTATGTTTGCATTTCTTGCAATGTTTAACTCATGTCTAGTTTTCTAAACATGAACCTCCAGATCCTTTCTGCAGAACCCTGCATAGCACTTAACCCCATCTTCACTTTATGTAATCAACTTTCTTCATGCTTGCACTTTTCTTGCTGTATTGTATTTTTTCAGATTAGTTCTCTAATTTGTCAAGATCACTTTCAATTTTAAGCTTGTTTTCCTACCTGCTTATGGAATCATAGAATAACTGTTCTTGATTTGGAAGGGACCTTTAAAGGTCATCTTGTCAAACCCCCCTGCAGTGAGGACGGACATCTTCAACTAGAGCATAGTCTCTCACAAGTTGGCAATCTGAAGGTTTACTAGGTGTGATTTCTACAGTGTCCTAGTGACAACAGCACCCCCCCCACAGAGGTTCACTTCTGTGTTCCAGTCTTAGTTTGCAAGACTTTCAAGACTTACTAGCTAGCATAATAAATTGCTCAGTGATTCTATTAAGTAACGTGAAAACTAGGATAATAGTTCAAACCTTTTCTGCCTGAGGATGTTAGTCATTCCTGCAGCAAAATCATTGCTATTGATAAGAATACAAATCCTGTGCAATTAAGAAGTTTTGCGATACAGAAGCATTTCCAGGAGATTCTAGGACAGGAAAATCATTATGCTGAAATGCTGACTCCTTCATACAGGTACTCCCTGGCATGTCTTGGATCAAACAATTTGTGAATCTGTATTTTATTTTAATAACTTTTGGAGAAGTCTGTCTGTCACCTATTACTTAATTTAAAACTTGAAAAAATCAGGATTATTTAAATTGCTGCTGAAACATAACTGCTGTAAATATAGGAACAAAAACATGAGAGACGCAAGCAACACACTACAATAAAGGGTCTCAATAGAAGGAACTTCGAGGGTTGTATCCAGCTGAAATTACAGGGGAAATTTAACAGACAATACCAGTGAACCTTAGGAGCGTTTTAATTTAGGCTCTGGAATTAATATACCTAATCTTGGAAGGAAAGATTAGGTGATGTCTAATGACCATTTAGAAAAGAATTCTTGCAGTAGTTATTTTCACAAGAGAGAAATTAATTTGTAGATGCTAATTCGTTTATTTCCAAAGTTGGTATCATATATTAGACCTGTAAAGTAATGTTTTACTTGGGCTTTTTGTTTTCTTCAGGTTTTTTTTCCCAAATAGGATGGCCATTCTTCAAGGCACTGACATGTTCAGTATTGTCAGCTTATAACATCATGATATTGTCTGTATCTCCTGGTATCACCTGTTCAATAGTTTATAAATTTTATCAGTATTGTGTGTGAAGCAGATGGCTTGTCTATGATGTTTTGCCAAGACATACTGGATAAAATGGATTACTCACTGTACTAACTAATTATCTTTCTTTATGTACAATTACACTTTGTTTTTCCCGTTGACATCTGTTATGTCACGTTTGTCTGAACTCGTTTAATGTGCCATTTTGTTGCACAGTTCAGACCATTTGCAATTCCAAGGTAAAACAGCATTCAGCTCTAATTCTGGCATTTATCCTTGATGAAATTGCCATTCCATATTTTTCCTCCTATCACTATCCACTTCTAGGTGCTTGCTATAACTTGAATATTCATTTTATATAAACAGACTTTTTGATATGTAATGTAAATATGTAAATTTTAACAGCTTTAATTTTCTCTTGAGACTTTTTTTCCCTCCCCAGGTAATCTGTAGTTAATTGCTGGACCTGTCTTATACCATATGTGTCTCTTGTCCATCCTGTGCATTGCGAGGGAAGCAGAGGGGGGGATCTACACTTGACTGTCAGGGAACAGGAGGCCTAGCATAAGACTGTTCTGTATGTCTACTGGTTATACTTTTAATCAAAAGGTGTTTAAATAAAGTACAGAGATCTGGTTGGTACGGAATTTTCCTGGTTTCAAACTATATCTTACTTAAGCCCACAAAAGTTACGTGGGATAGAAGTCTCTTCAGCTAGATAGAGCACAGGCTGTTACTGAAGTCCTTGAGTAATACATTTTGTGTCAGTGCTGAGCTGGTTTACAAGAGCATGTATTAAGCATGTATTGTTCCTGTATTATTTGTTGCCTGTCATAGTTCATGTCTGCAGCTGTACTAGTACGGTAGCTGGCTGTAGAGAATTTGCATTCAGTGGAACTTTAGTCTTAAAGATTTGTAGCCATTTTCCAGTATGTTCTCAGAAAGGTAAATGAATAACTTTATGAAGCAGGTTCTATTGACTTTTTGACCATTGTTTGGTGGTGTTTTTTTTTTTTAATTAACCTAAAATGAATTTATTTTCTAAAATCAAAAAGATACAAATGAAAAGAAATTGTGTTCTGTAGGTGTCACTTTGAAAAGTTCTCCAGCAGCAGAAGCTACTAGAGAATTATCTTTTCACAGATTGTCTCCCCTTAGACTGCTGTGCATGAATAAAATCAGGCTAAATAGTAGTTTTTTATAGAATTGTCCCATCAACTGTAGGTCCTGTGAAGTCACCTTTTCTAAACAAAGTACCTGCTTATATAACCATTTCATGGACAGCAGTAATTTGTAGAAAACCACGATGTAAAATTAAGAGTAAATAAACATAAAAAAATATTTCTAAATTTTCCTTAAGCAACAGGCTTTGACAGATCCATAATCAAAGAACTGATCAGGAATAATTCCTCAGAACTGCCTTTTAAGTCTTGGCTTTCTTAAAAGATTGTTGCAGTCTGCCGTGTAGTTTTTCTGTTCTAGAAACCCTTTCCAGCTTTTGAGGAAAGCAAAAATCATGGATCACTCTGTACACTCTAGCTGGAGAGAGCAGTGGAGTTTCAGTGTTGTTCTTACCCTGCCACTGCACTTTTTACACCTATCAGATCTCTTTGCTTCGCAGATTTTTGCTGGTGGTGGCATTACCATAGTATTCTGTCTGCCTTTTATGTAAACGGTATTTGGTTAATTAATTTGAAATACAGCAGTGTGGCAGGAGCGCCTTGTGAAGCTTTTTACTAGTATGTCACTTCAAGTTATTTTCGAAACTTGCTTGTTACTTCTAAGTCCTGGGAAAAGAAAATCTCCCTCCTTCACTGCCTATCATATATATTCATTAGAGGAAAACTGTTAAGATGTATACATGTTTTCAGTGTGGGCATGTTGTTCCAGTCCTTCTGCATCCTCACTTGCTCCTGAAAATCGCTCAGGAGGCAGACTGGTTATAAGACCTTTAATGCCACCAGCTTCTTCAATACTCTTAGTCTTTCTTAGACCATATTTATAAAAGCGAGCAGTGAGATGGAGTAAAAAAGAATTGTCAGGCCCTGGAAGAATAAGATCCCTATTACTCTTGACAAAGAACTTTGTATTATGAATTCTGCTTTCTGTTTTCTTTCTGGTTTATTCCTAAATTCTGATCTACCTTTCCCTCGTCTTTGCTGTTCATGATGACTTGGTCTGCTGCCCAAGAGAAACTAAGTCATTCAGAAACAGGAAAGAGAACAAAACCTCAAGAATCTAGGAGAAAGGAGAAATCAGTTTTCCTGAGGGAAGAGAGGAACTATTAGCAAAGCAAATCTCCAGAAAGCTGAAACAGAGTGGAAATGTTTTGTTTCTTTGGGAATGCAATCTGTAATTCTGTTGCTATATAAAGCAGGGTATTTGGTTAGAGCTGGTTATTAACATATGTTTTGTTTTAAAATTTAATAAGTATTCATGATTTGTAGTGAACCCGTTGATTTCTAGGATGTTGTCCATGGGTGTAATGTGTAAGGAATTAAAACCGAAGTCCAAATCCTTGTGGAAGTTGATGTTCCATTGAGCTAACGGGAAACAATTATTGCTGATTATAGGCGTATCAGAGATTATGCTACTCGGAGTCACCATAGCAAAAAAAAAAATCTCCAGTTTCTTTTTGCACACAAGACAGTTTTGGCTCAAGACATAACCAACGTTTTGCCAACAAATCATTTTGAAACCCAAATGGAAGCCTGAAGTAAAATTCCAGTTCATGGATAAACTGACATTTAGTCTAGTGACTTGAATGTTTGCCCGTTTTCTGACTGCATGAATAAATTTATCTAAGAATTTTGTATATTTTGAAATAGTGCATCCTGAATGTTTTTTCCTAATGGTGTTGAATGTTGTAGTCTACAATATATTGTACTTGCTTTTTTTTTTGAGTCTGGCTTAATTTCTCTTCTTAATTTGGGAAAAATCTGGCTAGACTAGCTAGGTGTAAAGAATGGAAAAATGCAAACTGAAGTGAGGAAGAATGCAAAATACATCACTCTTCAAACATTGGTATCTCAACTAGGCAACAAACAGGCAATGAAGACTCTACTGGTTCTTTGACTAAGAGAGGGAATTAATGAGATGCACTTTCCTCATTACGTGCCCCAATGGCATATTGCTGGCAGCTGGATATTTATCTATGAGCACCAACGATCTATAGCATCCAAACAATTTTCTGTTTGCAGAAAGTGTCTTTGGCTATCTCACTGCCTTGGCAGATGGTCCAAACGCAGAATGGGGGTAGAGGCTGAGTGACTGTCCGCCTGTGAGTACTGGCTTCTCCAGGTTGCTTGAGATTTGGTGTCAGTATACCAGTAAGAAATGTTAATGTGGCTTCCCTGCATGACTTACAAAGATTAGAGGATATTAGTGTCCATTCCCTAAATTTTCCTTTAAGTTCTCTGTGGAAAAAAAGTAAAATTAAAATTCCCCAAGATTCATATATAGTCCAACTGAGGTTTTTTGATTTGGGATCCCTTCTTATTCTGAAAAGAATATCAAGCAGAAATGAAACAAACCTCTAATAGCTAGAGGGGCCAGGTCGGTTGGGGAGGGGAGGGGAAATAATTGTAACAGTAGGAATGAGCATCATCAGACATGACAGAAGAGACCACGCACAGACTTTTAACAAACAGTCTAAGAGAACTTCCTTAAAATAGACTTTGGAGATACTTATAGAAACTGAGAGAAGGAATGTCTTCTGTTCTCTTGCCAAGTTCTGTGGCTGTACAATAATGTGCAATGGCATGTAACACAGAATGCAGTTTTGATAGGAGGTCTTTTTAGGAGCAACTGATCCCAAATAAAAGAAACCAAAAGTGATGAGTTCATTAGCTTGAAGATATTCATGCCAATTAATGAAGTTAAACTACTTTCAGTGGTTGCAAATCACTTCAGAGGAAAGAAAGAAAAATTGTGTTGTCCCTATTTTGCTGTCAAGCTACTTTGTCATACACCAGCATTTTCTTTTCCTATATAAATGAGTTTTGCTGTGGCCCATATATTTCTTCCCTAAATAAAAGGTACAGAAATGAAGAAATTAGATGAAGGCAAGCAACTGAGGCTTTTGAAGATGTCTGTGTCCTTTCTGTAGACTGTACTGGCCAGAAGGCGATGGGGTATTCTCACATCTGTATTCCTTTGCCTTTGTTCATATCAGTGGCAAAATATATGGAAATAATTCATTGAATTTTTACTACATGGTTAACTTGCCACAGTGTTTACTGTGCTTATTCTGCTGGTTTTTTAGATGAGTGTGCCACTGACAGGAGTTCCTGTAAGTGGTACTATCACACCCTGCCTGATCTGAATAAAGTAAAGCAAGAGACTGTTTGGATATATTTTATTACATATCTCAAATAATTCAGACCGGAAAAGTTTTCCTTTTGAGGCCATATTATGTGAATTGCTGCTTCTTTTACGATGCTGTTTAGGTTGTGACTGTATTAGTATTCCAGAAGGCTAAAATTTTTGTGATTTAAAACGTAAAAGAAATGAAATATTTTAGCCAGGAAGCATTTTCTACAAGAGAATCTTCAGATATGTCTCGTTGGAAAAATGCAGTTGTTTAAGGGATTTATTCCATATCAGTTGCTGGTTAATGAATGTAAAATTTCATTTGTTCCTACATTGTTTGACAGACTGCCATTACCAGATCATAAATTTATGGGCTATTGGAAAGTCGATCAGCCAGGGAATGCACAACAGAAACTGCTGTGTCCAACAGAAACTCAAAAAATAGATGTAAAGGTTTGTCTTTTTATGGTTTTTTAATTCATATAATACAGTTTTTATGTATTGGGATGTGAAGAATCTAAAATGTGCTTAATTTCTTCAGGAGAAAGAGTATATACAAAGCATGGTCCTTGTTACTCGTTCCTGTTTTGTTTATACTGACTAGAAAAATAAATGTTTTTGTATACCTGGCCCTCACAATGTGAGATGTGCTTTAGAATCAGTAAGTTTGGTCTTGAAAAGAGGTTTTTATAATGATATTGAAAATACCATATTTGAAGGAACTTTGTAGCTGTTTTGGATGCTTGGAGGTGGCCGGTTTCAGGCCCCAGATCTCAATTTTTGGATAAGATCAGAGATTGAAAAAAAAGCTGTTTTGTGTTTCTATTTTGCGTGCAGCTGAATTCTTATGGGTCTTTGGCACTGCCAAGTTTGAATCTGAACCTTTGGTACAATTTGACCTGCAGCCAAAGCTTCTAAGTCCTTTTCAGCTTTGAGTTCTTGGATTAACTTCAGTAATTATTAACTCCAGTGAATAAGGAAAAACCTGAACTGCTAATGTGATGTAGGGGTGAGATTTAAACTTTGTATAATAAGAAATTGCCATTGAACTTCTTTGAAACAAAAATTTTCTGATTTTTTCCTTGTATGTACTGTGTTTTATCAGTACATAATACCTCCTTCATGCCACTGAGCAGTAATAGCTTCAAACCAATAAAAGACTAAAGAGGAAAGGCATGATGGTCTCTATACTGTAAAGAAAATGGCAGTATGGACATTCAGAGAGCTTGCAGAAAAGCGTTTCCTTTTCCCTTTTATTATTTAGTAATTGGTCTGTTTCAATTGGTAATAGTATTAACAGTCTTGAAGAAGACTTCTAGATTTCCATAAAGAATGGTGAGTGAAATACTTTAGCAAGCCCTCATTGTTATCATTTGTTTTAGGGACCTGTGTACTTAAATATCCAAGGATTTCCACTGGAACGACATGAAGCCAGGTCCCTCAGTTTTACAGAAGAACTCGCTTTTTGGACACTGCCTTTGGGTGAAGTTAACTTAGTTTGCGATGTCACGGTAACAAAAGGTGCGGTAAGAAAAGCTAGTAACTTTTGTAATGATCCCCAATATTATAAATATGTGAAATATCCTAGAGATGAGGAAGAATTAGGCTGTTGACTTCCTAAGTGCTCACCGATAGCCAGTGGCAGAATATAAATGGGCAATATGAGGGATTCTAAGTGTAATAACACCACTTCAGTGCATTTACAATAGTGTGTATTTCTGGCTGTGTTTGCAATGGACTATAGGAATAATATTAAGAATTGGAATATGGGAATGGAGGACATGAGTACAGGAATAGAGTATAGGAATAATAATTTTTCTTTTTGTACTTTTTTTTTAACAGTAGATGAAATAAAAAAATAATCGGCCACTGAAATGGGAGCATAATTTCACTGAGACATTGTGGTCTTTGTAAGGATATGCATCCTTCTCAAACTAAGAGAAAGATATGTAATCAAAGTAGAACACAGCCACAAAATTGCAAGCCTGTCTAGTTTTTATGTTCAACACTGTATTGCTTCAGAAAAACAATTCTTTGACTTTTCCTCTCTTTCTAGGTCAATTCAGTTTTAATACAAATCTTGTAACTTGCAGAGTGCTGTGCTTTTTTTTCCTGTGCTTACACTGATTATAATCCTTTCTCACTCGATCAAGCCTGCCTTAGTTACCTATACTACTTGTGTCTCAAAGTGAATTGCATCATTGGGAATATTTATAAATGTACTTAGTGTTCATCATTGTCTAAACTTTATTGTGTATTATAAACAGATCACTAATGATTAGTACTGGAATGTTGCCTTTTCTGCTTGTAGCCATAGTTTCAAATACATTAACAAACTTTTATGACAGCAAAACAGAAATTACATGGCTTTGGATTGATTTTAAGAATTGTCTGAAATCAGTCAGGAAGGTGCTATATGTGAAAAGTTCCATACGAAGTTTGCATTCATCCCATGTTTAATTATTAAATATATTAATTGAAAGGGAGGATGAGATAGAGGAGGAGGGAGAACCAAGTTTATAAACAAACAAAAACATCTGGACAGATTTTGTGTATAGTAGCAGCTGGCAGGCACTGCAGTCATATCTACACAAATGTGTCTCGGACTACTTGTTTAATAGTGTTGTGGCAAGATTCTGCCTGTTAACGTTTAGTTAGTATCAGGAGACCATTTCTCTCTTTATCTTCCTGTGTCAACAGTGGTAATTTTGCTGCACATTTGCTATATCATCTGCCGAGTTTATGACATATATATTTCCAGAAGAGCAATGCATGATGTCAGTAGCCTTTCATTGATTTTATTTTCTTATTTCAGAAGAGGAAGCCGAAAATGTTCTTTACGTTACTACGTGCAATCCTGTTTCCTTGTACTTCATGAACGTTTCTAGTAAGAGTGGATACTTTGTGGATCTTTATGACCTCTTCCCAAGAACAGTTGGAAATGTCTGGCAACCTTTTGTGACTGTGGCACTGCTGGGAAATCCACTCAAAGGTCAAGTGGTTCTACATGAAGAGGAGGTAAAAAAAATTAAAATACAGCTAAATGTTTAGTGATAAGCAAAGTAGTGTCATAAGAGTAGGATCATTGAGGAGTCTACCTCTATAGATTGAAATAGCCTGGACAAGCCCACCCCCTTCTGAATGTTCTCTTTTTCACTATACCTGAAGCTTGGGAGTTGCCTTCAGCTTTAGTTTTTGTGTGGAGATTTTCCTCTTGCACTTTTTAGCTGGACAATATTCTTTTGCATTCTTGAAGCTGAGTTCTACCTGCTTATCTTACTTCTCTTACTGATAGAGGGAGATTGGCCTTCATGGGAGAAAGGGAGATAGTGAGATGAGTTCAAGAGTCTCGGTCAAGCAGCATATGTTTGCAAAGTAAGCTGTTTTATGCTGTGAACTTAAGTTCTGCTCCGATCTTGTCCCCTTTTTACTTTTCAAATAGTACATGAAAGCAACATTTTCTGAGTCACAAAGTAAAATGTTGTTTGTATTTGCTTTGTGCCACTATTTTTGATTTGTTCCGTGAATCCTGATATTTCTCGTTCTGTAACATCTGAAGCAGCAAGGCTAAAAAGAAGACTATTTAAGCCTCGACATCTAGTGTATCAGCAATGCAAATTTAGAACCACTGATGACTTCAGTGTTGGTTTGACTCGAATCCTTTTTTTAAAGTCAAATATTGCATACTTTCCACATATTTTCCTCTTTCCATTACTATCAGTGAACTGATTGGAACATTTCCAGTTCAAAACTTCTTTGCCCAGGAGTGGGAAGAGACAGCAGTTGATACAGTGCTGCTGCTGTTCTTTTTTTAATATTAATAATAGTTTATTATGTTACCTACCAGTCATAATGGTTTGACATGGGCATTTAATCTGGTCATTATTGTTGGTTGGTTTTTCCTTTTCCTTTTGTTGTTGTTCTGCCCATTTTTCAGTAGGTGAGAGACTCCAATCTAGTAGGACTGTTCCTACATTGAGTTGGAGTATTAAGTATTTCAGTCATTTCATAACTAGTGTCTCTGCGATACTGTTATTCCAGGAATGTTTGTCAAGTGTTGATGCCACTTTCTGGTCTCAAACACTACAGTTAAGCTCGATGCCTTATGAGAAACATAATTCTTCCACCTTTAGTAGAACTGCCTGTGCCTTCTTTAGCTTTGCCTTGGACACTTTCCAATGCCAACTGGAAAAAATATGATTCTTAAGTTACCTATTCGTGGTGGTTGCCTGTGCGGTTGTCTTGAACAGCTATAGAAGTACCATTTGGGCTATTTTGAGATGCACATAACACGTTTGTTCGGTTCTAAACAATCCTTGGCCTTTTTTGGCAAAGTCAACGCAGGAAACTGTAAAACAGATGGCAGTCTCTCTCATGTCTAAGAATGTTTAGAATGTCTCACGCTTTTTAATGTAAAGCCCAGCAATATTCTTTGCTTTCTAAGTCTCTGAAATTCCTACCGTGAAAATAATTGTTTTTAACCAAATCACAGTATCATTTGGTGTCAGCAATGAAGTTTTTATCAAAGGTTCATCTGTGAAGCTTTAGGTAGTTAACTCTGTGACTGGTTTTGCCTTTTCTTGTGGAATATATTTTTCAGTGACAGTATGAATTAAACTCTGAAATAGTTTGTTCTGTGGAGGGACTATGTTAGCTGAGCCCCTTTCCAGATGACTTCAATTGAGCTGTAATCTCATGTTTTTCTCTGGCAAAGCTTAACTATTGCCAGTTGCAGTCTTGCCTTTCTTAGCAAGTGCTACAGGTGAACAAATCCTGTCTGAAAACAAGCCTGTTTTACACTGCTGGAAAATAATACAGAATTACAATATTCTGAATGCTTTGCATTATCTTAGGACTTTTTACATAGTGTTAACATTAAGATAGACCTTACTCATTGAGTGTGAAAATATGTTTCGTTAAACTACAAACTTGGTTGCAAAAAGTCATTGTATACTTAGGACACCACGCAAAAGTAATTTCAGACTTCTTGAGGAACTTAAGTAAGCATCTTGCACAGAAAAAATGATGAAAAAGAATTCTCTTGTGTATTCCCTGTTTGTATCCATGGGCTACATTAGTAATTTATTTGGGGTTGGTTTTTAAATAAGGCACCAAAGCACCGGTCAGACGAATGCTGCTGTTGTAGTCTTCACAGCCACTGCTATCCTTCCTTACATTAGGGCATGTGTTAGGATCTCTGCATTTCTAGTTCCCACTGAATCAAAAGAGGGATTGTCAAGTAGTTTAATTTTTCCACATAGAGCTTAGGTTTTATTCCCAACTTTTCCTGCAGTGGAGCCAAGGAAAAATCACGTGCTTTCTTTGTGCACCTGTGAAATGAGGTGGATATTGCTGTATATGAAATTAAATCCGTTATTATTGATGTTAGCAGGTAAGCATATAGTCTAACCGAATCATCCACGTACCTTCTGTATCTGTTGGGAGGATAAAGGTGATCTGCAAGAGCAGTTCATCCCAGCTAAGGTAGAGCATGGTGAATTGCCCTCTGGAGCTGCCTCTCTCTTTCCACTGGCTACAGAAGGAGCCTTGACATATAGTCAAGATGCCTACCTTCAGGTGTACTATGGTCACTGGCAGCCATAGGCTCAGAATTTGCAGCATTCACATGTTAAGACAAGTAGATCAGTGACACATCTGTATTTTGAGCAAGGCTCCAAGGATTAGCTACTTGTGCTAAGGGTGCATCAAACAGATCTTCAAGAAAAACAAGTAATGTAAATAATGTATGTGATGCTTTAGAGGTTCGCTTATGTGTACTTGCAAAAAGACCGAGAAATATTAACAGTATTCGTAGAAATTAGAAGTTGCGTTTATTAAATTAAAAAAGCCCACTTGACAGCTGATATTTCATAAATAATATAATCCATTGATTAGACAATACCGAAAGCTAAAGATTTTTCCCAATTTTTTTTGTTTTAATAAAGGTCTTTGGAGATGAATGTTTCTGACTAAGTTATAAAAAAGAACAATTTTAAACAGATGATAACCTTATTGGAAAGGATGAGATGATGATATTGTGGCTCTTCAAATAAGCTTGTGTGATTTATTTCCCAGATGACATCCATCTGGATTCAATAGAGCCCTCCAGTGAAATAAAATGAAAAATCACCATTCTTCCTGTCCTTTTAAATAAAATTTTACTAAAACTAAACTCTTTGGGGATTTAATTTAATAGCACAAATCAGAGATTTATCTGCTTCTAAGCCACCTTCACATCTTCTTGGAAGAAAGAGTAGATGATTCTGTTCCTCACGGTGGCCATTGGTCTCGGTGAGCGCAGCCTGTTTTGACTCTTTTTTTCAGACTAAGCTGATAGACTTTGAAAAGACTCTTCAGAAATCTCAAGTCATTTCCTTGTAAGATGGGAATTGCATTCATCTTTTCAAAGCAGCAATGCCTCTGCCCTGTCCTTCTCACGAGTACTTCAGGGCGTACCCCTATTTCTTATAAAGCTTCGTGCCCACCTATTTCACTTTTCTTTCTGCACCTGTTGCTTTTACCACTCAGAAGGAGAGCAAATACAGACTGAAGAGAATTTTGATAACTTTATGCCTGATTTTATATCGGATTATAGGAGGAAAATGCACATGGAGAATTGATTTGTATATAAATTAACTGCACACTTCCGGTTTTTCTTACAAGCACTTTGCTCTGTTGAAAGGCTACAACTGGATGGACAGAGTAACCTACAGTCTACCTCAGGGAGCACAACAAGCTTTGCCCAGGCAGTGTCCAGCCAGCATCCTTTAACTCTGCTTTTATCTTTCTCGGTCAGGAAGTGGGGTAGGGAGGGAGGGAGGGAAGTGCTTTTCCCTGTCCCACGTGCTGCTGGAGCTCTTTGTCAAAGCTCTCAGACAGCAAGGGAGTGAGGGAGCCTATGGCACAGAAGCTGACAGAGAGATCCACCTCGCTCGTTACACGTAGAAGATGGCAAACATCCTTTAAAAGAAGACTTTTTTTAACAGTTTGTGATCTAGCCTGAAACACAAGTGGGGACCTGCATATGCAACATGCTAGTAGTAACATCTGAAATCTCTAGTCCCCATAATATTCTGATGTATGTTTTCAGGAGGAAGGGTGTATTTTCTTCAAAAACTAGTTGACATTATTAAATTCTCTTCTTTTTTTGGATATTATATAAGACTTTCCTTTTCTATAAGCATACCTTATAGAAAAGAAAAGGTGTGCTTATATAGCAAGGTGTGCACCGTCTATAGAAAAAGTGAAGACTTTCCTTTTCTATAAGCACAAAGCTTATATCTCTACTTGCTGTCCTCAGTTTACTGGAATCTCTAGTACAATCAAGTCTCCCAAATCATCTGAAAGACACCACTTGCATTAATTAGAACACCAGTAACCTGCTTGCATACATTTCCCTACCACTGAAGGCATGGAGGTTTGAGACCCAAACCATAAATTCTTGCACAGACTTTTTTCACTTGAACCTAATGAACAATATGATATGTCTGTAGCTGTGCCTAGTATTTACAGCATCAGGACTCTTATGTGTATATCACTCCAGGGATCCTTGAGTGGCACTAAGAGGAAAGGTGCTCGTGGGACAGGAGGCAAGGAGCGGTATAGAGGGGTTACCCTGCCAAGCTAAGAATCAGCCTCATCTGAAGCTCACAGCTAAGAAGAGTCTGTGTTCGTGATATTGCTTGCTTGGGACATGAGCATCGAGGGCAGAAGAGAACAAAACTGAGAGTACAGGGAGAAAAATACAAGAGGGTTAAACTGAATTATCTGTGCTGTCCCACTCTGAAATTGGAGTGTATTCCTTCCCCTAGCTCTCCTCTCTGTCTGCGAGACTGTAAGGAGCAACTTCCCGTACAAGTAAAGTGAAATCACAGCCCTGTTTAGTTTAAGGACTTTTAAGAGGAAAATGCTGGCTAAAATAAAAACAGCAGTAAGGAAAGGGAAACTTTGCAGTAACTAAAAATAAAGGCACGCCACTTCACAAGATTGGTTATTGCATCTGTCCAGAGTTTGGAATTCCAGACATCGGGGTCGGGAGGTCACCCAAAGGTTACTTTTCTCCCAGTCAAGAACAAACACAGCAGAATTGCACACCAATGTCTTTTCCCAGCCCATTTGAAGAGTTGCCAAAGCTGCTCTTGGATGTGTTCGCAAGTGACGCAAAAATCTATTCTTAAACACAGACAGAATATACATCAGTCACTTAGCACAGAAGGAAACCATTAACATCAAAAGGGGTGGAGTAGAGAGGCTTTTTATATTTCCAACTGCTCTCATAAATTTAACGCTAAGTGGAAGAATGTAATTGATTTGTATGTGTTCTTTATCTCACGTGGAAGGCTAATGCATTGCTTTGGTACAGCAGTGCTGTTGCAGAATTGTATGAATAAAATATGGCAGAAAACCAAAATCCAAAGCAAATGCCCGATTTTTTCTCCTGAACCACATTTCCATAATTTTGGTTTGTAATACATAAGCAAACTTCTTTTTTTAGAAGTATTGAACTCTAGCTGAAATTCCCAAATGCTCCAAATAACATGGTAATATTTTAAATGCTTTACCATATTTAGCTTCAAATGACTGTCATTATTAAATAATCTTAGTGAAAGTATGAAGTGTACCCAAAAAGAACAAAACTGTTGTGACTCAGATTGTTTGTATTTGTTTTATTTAGGAGAATTTGTGGGAATTTGTGTTTTACTCTCTTAACGTCTATCGTGCATTATTGCTGATGTTGTACGTAGACAGTTTACTTTTAGTAAGTCCTTGCAGAACTTAATGTCCTTGCAGAACCTAATGTTTCCTTGAATGGCAAACAAAAAATTCAACCCAACGCTTAATTAACTTGTTCTTTTGTACCTTTCAAATTTCATTTGATGTGGTTAAGGTTGGCCCTGAATGATTGTTCTCTTGAATTCTTAGTTAAACACATTAGGAGCAGCTTTGTACTGAGCTTTTTACTTTGTGTGGATCCTGGGGCATTGAGTAACAAACTGAGAAATCTGAAGAAGTTCAAAATTTAGCATACCATATTTTCACATGTGATATGTGGAGGACACTTGCAGTATCAGTATCTTGTCTGCTTCTGATCTCCATCTCTTGAGCCATCCTGCTGTCCTCCAACAGTTGTCCTACCTCTGACACTGTAAGCTGTCTGAGCGTGCAGGTCACAGAAGGATTGTCACGCACTGGGATATTTAATAAGCTCCACGGTATCAAAAGTATGAACTTGGGGAGAAAGTACTAAGCCATTTTTTCTCTCACCAGTTTTTCACCTTCAGTGTAACTTAAGTAATGGGTACTTTAAGAGGAATGCTAAGAAAACATAAAAACTGAACAAAACTGGTACGTCTCTCACCCGTAGCTGACTACAGCTTGGACATGTAAGCCATACTAGTCTAGTTCCTAGAGCTTATGCAGAAGTGAATGTGAGATGTGTAGATAAGACATTATGGAAAAACTGCAATATCATTCCAGCCCTTTTTGCGTGTACTTAACCGCTACAATTAAATTTCTCCGTGAGCCAAGAAGATTCAGCCTACGTTTTCCAGCAAAATCTAGATCATCTTTTCAGAATGTCCTAAGTTGCTAAAGTTGCCAAAGTGCTTCAGATAGATGTGTTGTAGTCTCTTAAATGGGCTTGAGATGTACACGGATCTGCTTTTCATTTACAGAGCAATGTTGTGTTGTTGCTGGATACAAACAATGGTGCCCTTCGCCGACTTTTGCTCTTACCGGATGCTCAAGAGACTCCTAAGAGAACATCTTGGTGGAGCAGCAAAGAAGAGATGGTGAGGAATAGCGCTTGCCTCTATTATACTAAGGGTTTTTTTTTTAAATCAAAGCTCAATATTGGAAAAACTGCCCCAGAATCGTTCATCTTTCTGTTGTAATGGCCCAAGCACTTAATTGTTTACTCTTATGTATGTTTAAATGCCTTACACATAAAATAGCATTGTTATGGAATAATGATATGAAAAATATAAATAAGTTGTATTGTCTGAGGATATGTATCTTTAAAATATCCCTCTTTGGAGCTAGAACTGGGAATAACGGACAATACAAGGGGTTATGTCCAAAATAATGAACTCAATTATGACGCAATTAAATGACTTGGGACGAGGCAGGCTAGATAGCATTTTGAGAGGTAATTAATGCCGTGGATTATTCTAAATAAAGGAAAAATGTAGTACACTTTCAGGGGAGTCAGGGAAGCTCACTGAGACGAATCTAACAAACACTAATTGCTGTATGACGTATTTTTATACAGAGCAACTACAAAATGTGCCGAGAGTTTTCACACAAAAACTGGCTGGTGTTCTACAAAGAAGCAGGGTGAGAGTAAATTATATCCTTGTATTATATGGATTTATAACAGATCTCCTCATGTACATCCCTATCTGATTATTCTTTTCTTGGCTTCCAATTTTACAGAAACCACCTTATTGTACTGGATGTATTAGAGGGTCAAACTCATACCATCTCGCTTCCGATCAATCTGAAATCTGTTTTCCTGGTGGCTGAAGACCGGTGGCTCTTGGTGGAAAATGAAACAAATCAGTTAGTTAAGCCTAGTTTTCTTGATGGCATTATTTCTTGTTTGTGTCTTGTTTATGTTCCGGAGTTTCATGCCTGGTCTCAGAGTTATTTTTTCAGTTTGTGAGACTGGCTAGACTTAAACAGTTGATGTTTAAGATGCAGATTTGATCTGGTGAAAGTGCAGGCAGGCTTTTAGAGTAGGAAATGAACAGGATATGCCTGCCTAAATTCATGCCTCTGAAAATCTAGACTAGCTTTAATTTGTATGCATGTTAATACTGTTTTTACTGAGATGGTATTGATCTTTAGAAATGAGAATGTTGGCGGACCTAGCTTTGGAAATACACCCACATCATCCAGAGTTAGTGCCTGCTTGCTTTACTTTCATGGTCATGTGAAAGAAATATTACTCTGCTGTCTTATTTTTATAAATGCACAGCAAATAAAAGTGTGTAAATAGTTACCAGAAGACAAATCTGCCACTTGCTGGCTTACCCTTTCCTATCTCACAGATGTTTGGTAAATCATATTTAGTTTTAGCAAAAGGTGTTGATAACCTTGTTTATATAAATGTAGAATGTTTTTGCTATTTCAGAAGATAAAAGTCCTTGTTTAGAGTTACAAGCTTAATCAGGAATTATTATAAATGTGTGTCCTTTACAGGAAATTTCTTTTAACCAAGCGTGCCCATATGGAAGCTGAAGACAGTGAGGTTTGCCAGCTGTATGCATTGACAGAAGAGCCAGCTGACATGGGATTTGGCTTAACAACGGGTATTGAATGCAAGCTTGGCTTGTTCTTTTTTTTTTTTTTTTTTTTTTTTTAATTTTTTTTTTTTTTTAATCGTTTCTGTGTTTGCAGCTGCACAAACAAGGCTCTTTTACTTTAAAGGTCTGGGTAACCTTCTCTCTGATTCTCTTTTTGTCCTCCCCTTATCATGTTTGGTTAATAATAACTTTTCACAAAGCATGGCAAATTCCATGCTCAAACTTCAGGTTGTTTGAATAAAGCATCTTTTTTTCATTATAGTGTTTAAGACCCTCAGTCATGGACTTTCAGGAAACATACAAGCATACAGAATGGAAAAGGAAAAAAGACGGCTAGGCAGGAATTAGAACGTAAGAATAGAAGGGACCAAATATGTTGATGAGTCCAGTCTGTACGCTGTTGCAGGTCTGTTACACACACTCAGATGAGCTAGAAGTCATTTTGCAGCACTTACAAAAATACAAAAGACCTACTGTTAAAACAGAATAGAAGTCACAGTTTCTAAAGTTGTGCAGATAGTGTGCAGGAGGCCATTAAGGCCATCACACCGGTGTTAAAAGATCGGGAGAATTTGTTCCGTAAAATTCCCAGATGGTGCTAGGCATTGAGGCATGTTTTAGCTACAAAAGAAGGCAGAAATCTCCAATGGTCATCATTCTGCCTAGTAAGATCTGCCTGTCTTCAGAGCTGATGTCATTTTCAACCCTGAGCATTTGATCACGGTGCACAAAATCTTTAGTCTACCTGGTTTAATAACACTGGAAGTACATGTGCATCCCACTTAACAGTTTATAGGCTTTTGCCTATCTCCAGTGTGTCTCAGAGAGACAGACGAAAAAAACAGAGAAACCACTTTATATCTGTTAAAGAGGGAAAAAGTTTTGTCCTGGTCCTTGTGGCTAGCATAAGTATGAAGAATGAGATTAACACAGTGTAAACATGATACAAGCAAATGTTATTGACAAATAACAAATATGGCTTATTTTACACAAACAGCAACAAATTGGATACCAAAGACTCTAACCACAGCTTAAATATCTAGGATCCTTTTTATCTCTTGTACAGTTTACTCTATCAACTTATCAAGCTCCATCAGAGCACAGTAGTTTCCTTCCTCTTACTACCTTATTTAGAAACCATTATAGAGTATCATTCCTCAGATGGGTAGAAATGTTACTATAATTTCCAGTCTCCAAGTATTTGTGGACAGTTTATTGCTGCATGCTTTTTGTGCTATTTTTATCCTTTGTTATCTTATTTTTTCTCTCCCAATCTAAAAAGTTATCATATCCCCTCTCCACTTTTTTCCAAATCATCCAGCAAACCCTGAATGTAACATCTTCAGCCTGTTCTCATTCTTTGAGGCAGAACCTGTGGCAGGAGAACTAAGAAAAGGTAGACCAGTGTGGGTTTGCCACTGACCCAAACCAGTAGCCCATTCATCCTTTGAGGGAGGAAAGATTTTCTCCTGCTGCCAGGTAAACGAGATAGTCTGCCCATTGAAGTGGAAACAGTGTATGCTGCAGAACTAAAGATAGCGGGTTCTGACTGTGTTGATAATTTGAGGCAAGGTAAAGGGCTGTTGCAGTTGCATGGAATAAAATTTAGTTTTCCTTAGCTTAAAGAAAAAAAAACCTAGACCATTATTTACCAGAAATGTGTTACAAATAACATCATTTAAATTGCAAAGACAGCAAGACAGCTGCCAAGAAATGTCACATTGACAATTACCTGTGCAAATCTACATTTTGCCTTTTTGTGCATTTGCATTATAACAGTCTTCAATGAGATCACATGCTGTTCTATTCCATAGGCTTCCTGCCTCATTGGCACAGTAGAGGGCAAAATTAAGTGGTATAAGCAACTACAAAGCTAGTATTTCCTGATTTTAAGTACTTAACTTTACAAAAATAACATTATTTACTGACTTCTTTTCTGTGTTACAGTATAATATAATCGAATCTTCTGCTTTTTAGTAATTTTATGCTCAAAGTAATAGCAATGATCAGTGCTCAGCACTCTTACAGTTAATAATGTTTCCTATTGCACATCTGGATTTAATGACTTTCATTTTGTTTAATTTCCCTGTTTAGCATCAGAACTGTGTGTGCCGCATGCAGTTTCAAGTGACCAGCTATCTTCAGAAAACCTCAGTGCAGCTGTGGGACAAAAGATCAGCTCCCCCAACAGGATTTTCTCAGATGAACATAATTATGCTACTATTGTTATTGGTTTCCCAGACCTCTTGGTAAATACTCAGCATTATTATACAATGAAGTAATATGATCTCATTTAATCTGTAACCAGTTAAGTACCTGTTTACCAAATGATATGGAAAAAGAAGGGAATGACAGTAAATGACGAATTCATGTAGTGTACACCATTTGGTAGAGTAGTCTAATCTAGAGGGATTTCAGCGGAGTTTGAAATAAGAAGAAATTGGACAACATAATGTCCAGCACAGACAATATTCATTGTAGGTAAGTTCTGAATAGTGCTGGCTAGAGGAATATTTTCTAAATCATGTGTTTTTATAGATTTTTAATTAGATACAACCACTGAGAAAGAGGATATCAGTATCATTTTGGACTGGTCAGTGTGAACTTTTTGCTCAGTGTGCAGCAGCTAGCAAGACTCTAGATTTAAGAAAAAGAAAAAAGATACAGAAAATGGTAGCAAAACTATACAGCCCCTTCACTGTTTAATAATGTAGTTAAGTGTAAATACTGCATGTAATTGTGCTCACTCCTGTGACACAATTAGAAAAGGACCAGAAAGGACAGTGAAACTTAACAGTGTAATGACTAAGGCTGTTGCAAGGAGTGGAGATAAACACAGGGAAAATAAAAGCAGTACGTTTAATTCTTTGGATTTATTTATATTTACTAACTAGTGATACATAAAAAGAGTGGTGCTTATGGAATAAATAATTCTGTCATGTTTGCTTAATAAATTGCGGCAAATTAGAAAGTTTAACTCTTAACAGACATGAATTTTGGGAAAGCCAAATGATTGAAGAAAATACTCTAAAATCTAAAATTATTCAAAAATATGTTTTTGTCAATAAGACATTCCCTGTCTTTGCAATTAGCTTTTGAGTTTTACTTGATTTGGATTTATATTACCAGATTGATTATACTAGCTTTTCATATTATTTATGATAGATGTGAGTTTATTGCTGGAAAAGGGAGGTAGTCTAGAGGACTAAAGATGCTACACACTTCAATACCAACACTGGTGATGAAGCATTTTGCTCTCCCTGATTTAGACTGAGGCCCTGTCTTTCCTTGTACATGGTTTTAAATGTCCATGTGAGTGTCAAAGAGGGAATGCTGAAGGTGAATGTGAGGGTGGTGGGACAAAACTTCAGATTCAATATTTAGTGTTAGTGGTGTAGGTGTTTAGTATGAACAAGGTATTTAAGCTCTTATTCATAGTAGCAATGTTCAGCTGACCAAACGTAAAGGCCTTATTCAAGATGAGATGATTTATTCTCTAGGCTCTACTGACTAGCAGGAGATGAAGCACCTGGCTCACATGTGGACACCTACATTTATGTCTCTGAACCTGGAGCCAAATCCCAGCCTTAATGCCTAACTTTGAATTCATTACTGAAATATCTGTTTGCATTTATCTACGTTAGTGGAAACTTAGATTATGGTAGCAGTTTGCTACGTAGTTTGATTCCAGATTAAGTTATTTCAATGCTTTCTGGTTCAACATGAAAAAAAATGTTGATTCAACTTCAGCTCTTCAAAGAGTCTCAATTCCTAAAACTTGTGTAGGTGGTCTGCTGTTTTTCACTCCTATAGGAGTTTTTAATGACAAAATAATCTAGGTCTTTTCCTTGTCATGTGGTGACACGAGAGATAACCACAGTAGCTACATTTGATTTGAAATTAGATAAGAAGTGGAACTTATCAGGAAACATTTTTCTTAGGCTCAATAATAGTAATGTTTTGTTCAGTAGACTCATTCTCTCTTGCAGTCTCCTAGTGAAGTGTACAGCTGGAAAAGAAACTCGTCTCTGAGTCGCAAACGTGCTTCTCCTTCTGATCCATTTTATTATGGAGCCCGGAGGAAAACAGGAGCTGCAAAACAAACCAATTGTGTAACTTTATTGGCTTCTAATCAAATAGTCAGAATTTTAGCACCTGGAGATGTGCCTTTGAAAGACATTTATCCAAAAGGTAAGAGGTTCATATACTTTCGCTGCAACAACTGTACACGCTTGGTTTTGTTTTGTAAACTGCAATCACTCATGAATTTTTCCAAAATATTTTTAAAGAATCACAAAGCAAGCATTTGAGGAGGAATGAGAGTAGTTGCACTCATTTTTAAAATGAATTTGGATCTTATTAACATGCTGAATTATACTTCTGAGGAGTTAACAGGCTACCTTCAACATGAATATCCCAGTAGATGGGATCTCCCTCTGTCCACGCTGGGAACCAACTACAGGAATATGATCATTCCAGTTCAGCAATTGGCCTTCAACCTCTGCTCAGTGCCACACAGACACACAGTGTTAAGACAAATCTGTTGTCCGTCTAGCTCAGTATTCTGTCTCCAGCAGCGCCAATAGGAGAGGTTATTTTGGGAATGCATGTGAACCTGGCCACTTCTCTGTCTTTCCCTTCATACTTTCTCAACAACTGCAGTTGTTTTGCTAGGGATGTCGCAGGGGACATCCCTGCCTCAGCCTCGAAATCTCCTTTTATGGACCTGTTGTCCACAAGTTTGTCGGGTCCCTCTTTGAACTCGTGTGTCTCCAAGCAAGCTCACAAGTTCACTACTCTCTGTGATCAACTGATCTCCTACCAGGTTTATCAAGTGCCCCTCATTCTAGCATTGCAGGGTGGGTGAATAACAGTTCTGCCTTCACCTTAACCATCACCTTCATGACTTTGTAAACTTCAGTCACATCTGCCTTCTCTCCAAACTGAAAAGACCCAGGCTTTTTAGTTCTTCTCTTGTCCAAGAGAATGTTGCATGAGCAATGTTCACATACAGCAAAACCGACCTCCACTTGTACACTAATAAAGCAGGTATAGACTACAGACCTTCAGACTTTTTTGTGCCAAGCTTTCTGTTATCTTTGTATCTTTAGCTTCTTCATCCAATAACTAAAAATATACCAATTAGTGCTAAATAACAGCATTTGTGAGTTTTGCATTAATTACCTCTAGAAATCTCCAAGGAAAGGTCGCTGTCAAAAGAGAAAACCCCCAAAATATTTATATATGGTAGAATGGCAGATTTTTTTAATTCATCAGCACAGGAAGCTATTCCTGATTTGTTCTGTATGTGAACTCTCTGTCCCAGAATAAATGCTTTATTCCAAATTAAATCCCTTTTACAAAATAAATTATCTAATATGTCTGCCCTCATTTAACGCAGATTAACTTCCCTGTATAGAGAAATCCTTTTATTTATTACTAAAAGGATAAAACATTTACTTGACTAAAGAAGCAAAGTCAAGGATGTAAACAGGGTACAAAATTGAAGTTACCTACATTTGTAAAGAAAAGGTTAGCTTTTAAAAAGATTAAACTTAATAAAACATAGAGTTAGCATGGCGATCTTGGAACTCATTATACCGCTTCAGGCTGTAATCTTCTCATACTTTATTAACTGCTGAAGGGTCAGACTGGGTCATTTTTTTTAGGCCTTCACGGTAAAAAAAAAAAAAAATCTGACTCTGAAGTGGATGGTATAAAAATTCAGAAGGTAAATTTTCTGAGCTTTTGTTGAAATTAGTTTATTAATTTGGGAGTGAGGGAGGGATACAGTGCTTCCAAATTATACCTAAAATTGAGATCTTGACAGTTATTTCTAAAAGTCTTTTAAGTTGCTATTGTATGTAACACTTTATAATGCTAGGTTAATATAATTAAAAACCACGGGACATTCTTCATGAATCCTGGATACCACTGACCTGAGCAAATTATCTGAGAACTGGCTTGTTTCTGACCGAACAATTTAATTCGTATCTGTTGTTATAGCTGAACAAGATACTAGCTTCTCTTTTTTCCTCAACTATGGTGAAATATATTAATGAATAGTGATTGATAGCTTTAAATTTATATAAAATTTTATGAGGTATAGTTTGTACAGTGCTTTATGGCCATTTCAGTTGAAAGATTTAAGGCCTTCTTGAAGATCATTATAATTGATTTTTCTTTTCTAAATGATGTTTTAATTTATGAATTACCAAAATTGATCTCAACTGAATCATGTTTAATATGACCTTACTGGTACAATTAAATTGGACCTGAGCAAGACTCTAGGTTTTCTATTCCATAGCTTTTTTTCAGGACTTCAGACGTTTCCATTTATCAGTTAATGGTCAGTTTTTCTAGTAGAGGAGGAGCTATGAGTGGAGTCCTACAGAGACCTGTGCTACTCAGCATGGTCATAAAAAATGGAAAAATGAATGAACAGTGAGGTGACAGTGTTTGCTGATGATACTGGTTATTGTTCATGGTAGAAAGGATTCACCATGAAGGATTACAGAAGGACTACGATGCTGACTGCAATGGAAATGGCAGATGAAATTCATTATAGATAAATATGATGTACATGAAGGAAGAAAGGAAGAGTCCTAGTTCTACATCTAAAATGGTGGGGCTGATCAGTAGATCTCAGGAGCATGGTTTTGGTGTTATGATAGATAGTTTCATTAAAATATCAGTTCAAAGCTCGGTAGCCATCAAAAAAGCAAATCAAATGTGAAGAATTACTAAGGAAGAAACAGAGAAAAAACAGAGAACATTTTTGTGCTGTTGTGTAAATCCACGTGTCTTTAACACTGTGTAGTTTTGGTCCTCCGTCTCAAGATGTGAGAAGGCTGAATTGAGGTAAGTTCAGGAAAGGACAACAAGCATGAGCAAGATTACATCGGCCAAATTTCTGCATGTGGCGACAAGATCAGGAAAGGGGCATATGGTGGAATTCTACAAGAACATGTATGGCATGGGGACATGGAAAAAGCAACAATTTTACACTCGGTACCAGAGTTAGGGGGCAGCTAATGAAGCCAGTAGGAACTTCATCAAAACAAACAAAAAGAGGTGGTTCTTCACAGAGCAGCGAACCAACCTGTGAAACTACTTCCCAAAGGATGTTGTGAATGTTGAAACATGGATCCAAAGGAAAACTGGACAAACTTGTGGAAAGTTACTAAATGCATAGACATAAAAACATAGATACCACATTCAGCTTAAGCCCCTGGGTTGGAACTGGTTGGTGACTTGAGGAAAATACCATGTATGCTTGTCCATTCTTACACTTTTTAAGCATCTAACTACTCTTGGAGACAGGATACTAGATTAGAGGGACCTAGTATTGCCATTGTTACGGCATGAATCCAAAGTCTTTCCAAGTGAAAAAGGGAAGACAGAAGAAAAGAGACATGCATTCATGTACTTGCTTCGCAGGTGAGATTATAAGGTACTAGTCCTTACTGTGCCCATTTGAGATCCATTATTTGCAACCCTCTGTGCTGGGCTGTTGTTTCTTCTGGAGTTTGCCTCTCAATCTCACTAATTGACAGAATATTTAATTGAATGCACATTTAACTGCTACCAGTAGCTGCTTAACAGTCTTGGTCCCTTGGAGATTCCGTGTTGCTTATTCCGGATTGTACTGCATAATTCATGGGGGCCTTTGGACGTTTGGTGATTCGTCTGCACTGTTGTTTCTGCATTGGAAACCTATAGTTACTTACCTACAAAAGTTGTATAAGGCTTCGTTCATAAGTGTTTGTATCCTTTCCTGGGAGATGTTATAGTGAAGCAAAGGCATCCTATTACATAAAATCAAGTATGTGGCAGTCCCTTGAAGTTCTTGCACTAATGTCTTATGTTGCCTTTGAGAAGTTGTTTTATGTTTTTGCTTCAGTTTGCATATCTATCAGGCTTTCTTTCTCATCTTCTTGGACAACTGGTCAGTTCTGGCACGCAGCCTTCTATTTCTATTAATAATTCAAAGTACTCAGCCAAACTCTAGCATACTCCAATATGTATTATCAAAACTGTTCCAGGAACAACAAGCGAAGAAATAATTTCCTTTATGTTTTATTGGAACTGTAAACCAGGGTAATAGTTATGTTTGAAAAGAAACTATAACAAGTAATAATTTCCCCAAAGACTGCCGAATAGATGTATGGCCACAAAATGTAAACTCAGACAAGAGATCATGGCAGAATCCAGCAAATAAGTATTAATGTTTATTCTGAAAACAAGGCTATAGAAATGAGGGCTACTTGAGAGCAAATATTTACTTGGATTCTCAGCACTTTCTATATATGAATATAAAATAACAGTCTATTACTGAGTGTGTATCTCTATTAGTGTGACAGTAACTGGAACAACATGTAGTGTAACACACACAGGAATAACCTCAACACGTCATCTGGTCCACCTATTTATATAGGGACAGGATGACACATGTTTAGACTCTTCTTAAGTGATGTTTGTTGGACAATTGGCCTATTGCAATGCTTCACTCTCCTTGTATAAGAAAAGTTTTTCCTAGTATCCAGCTTTTTTTGCTGTAAACAAAACTGAATACTTCATGTCACCTCCACACAGTCAAGATAATATTGGTCTCTTTATAGTGATCTTTTTGATACTATAGGATACGTGTTTTTAAAAAAAAAAGTCCCTTTTGAGACAAAAAAAAAAAAAGTTAGTTCCTTAATTTGTCCTTACAGCCCATCTGTTCTAACCTCTTTGTCACCCCGAGGACTATCTCAGGTGTCTATGTTTTCCTTTAAGTTTGAAGTCTAAAGCTGCGCATAGCTATTCCTCTCCATTGGGCTTCAGCAAAAGAGGAACAAACTGCACTTACTTAGGTCTGATGTTCATGTTTCATCGTAAGATTCTGGACTGCAGTTCTGGGGCCTGGCCAGTTGTTCCTGTGTTGCATTTAAACATTTTGATTGCATTTTCTTCGGCTTCCTACTCTGCTATCCTTTGTCTTTTTATAATTTAATTTGGTTGGTTTGTGTTCTCTCTCTAATTTATTAACTTAATTTTTAATTCTTATCCCACAGTTCTACCCCTACCCGTTCAGTATCAGCTCTATGTTCCAGATCTTCATCAGAATTTTTAATGTGTATCTTACTCTCCGTGACTACCGAAAGAGAGAGCACATTTTAAAACAGTAACAAAATCTAGGCAAAACAAAAAGTGCTCTGTGGCTACAAACCTGCATTTTTCCAGACTTTTTTTTCCTATTTGCACTGTGTTTGATATTTCCATTTTTATGAAGATGAGTAAAGTCAACAGATATGCTACTGTAGATATGCATACTACAGATATGTAGATACAGTAGATATGCATAAAGTGCTGCTGTGGGTTATTCTTTATACTCATTTGAATGTTCGATCCCCTTATACTGCTGATCTTACTGGTTTTTTCTGTGTGTGCTGTATGCAAGCATCAATGCTTCTGCAGGTAACATCAGGCTCTCCTTCATTTCAAGGAGGTGAAATATACGTTGTTTCAGAAGGAAATCTAGACTTGCTTTCATCTTGAGACAATGGTATTTTGTACCCATACTGTGCAGTGTAATTCAGTCTTCTGGTTTCTTTTCTGAAAAACTTAAGTTCCTCAATTTATTCCAGACAGATGAAAGCCAGCTCCTAACTGGAAGCCACTTCTGAGCCCGGGCAGAGTGTACTCATATATGGGCAAAAGCCAATGTAGGCGCACCCCCCACCCCCACCCCACCCCCCAATTTATTTCTGAAGGAGAGACCATAGTATTAGCATTAGCTGTATTCATTAAACTGTCTATAAACAGAATATTAAATGCCTGATAGTATAGGGCTATTTACTATGAAGTTATAAAATCTTTGCATACTGAGAATCTACCTGCAAAAAGAGTGGTTCAATTTAAGGCAACAGCATTTAGGTTAATATTATTGAGAAACTTTCAAATGAGAATCATAAGCACAATGTTTTGAAATGTTCCTCAGTATGCTTTTAAAGTCAGATATACAGCTGACATTATCTTCAGTGGCAGATAAAAGCAGTGAGTTAGGGATTGCATTAATGCCTGAGCAGTGCTTTTGTGCGTAGGGCTGTATTTGTGTGTGATGTTGACATTTGCTATACAAATGCATTGTTCTTTTATAATTGTGCCTGTCTGGTTGCTCACTATCACAATAGTAAAACAATTCTGTATTTGCAAGTTACACTCCTGTGTTGAATGTGAAAGCTTATCATTTTCTGACAGGTACTGTATAATGAAATGTTTAAATTTAATCTACTAAATGCAAATGCAATAACCAGTTAATCATGCAGCAGGAAAATAACATGTTTGTTTATTTTCAGATGTCACTCCTCCACAAGCTGCTGGATACTTGGAAGTAACAGATCTTAAGTCAAAGAAAATCAAATACATTGCTATTCCTAGGTAACTGATTTTATTGATTAGAGCAGCCTCTGTCTTACAAGAAAGGCAGAGAGAATTTAGTGTGTATTATTACTTCAGGATAAGCAAATATTTCTTCTGATGTGGAAAGTAAGAATAATTCATACTTAGTATGTAGAATTCTGCAACTGTTGTAGCATATTTTTGTCAACATTTTTTAGCTGTTTACTAGGTGATACCAATGAAAATGTAGCAATTAATTAGTAAATATGAAAGGTAGCTTTATCTTCTGATTTTCATTCCCTTTGCTCTTTCCCCCTCTTCACCCACGTCATCCTCTACCCTCTTTCATTTTGTTTTACTATGCTTGTTTTCTTTTCCTTTTTCTCTATCTTTACGGTCTAACAAAGATAGGCAGAATGATCCAGTTCTAGGTGTTAGGAAACCAGGAATCAAGTTCTGGTCCAATATAAAGTTCACCTTGAAAATAACTTGAGCTTCTCTATGTTTTGGTTCTCCCTTTGGAAAATATACATTCCCTCACAAGTATTGTGCATGATACACAAGTGTCTTATATGATACATTAAAATAGCCAGACTATGTGGCTTCTGTATGGTTTTAACATCTATCTCTTATCATTGTAGAGCATATTTGCAAATATTTTATGATATAAACATATATTTTGGTTACAAATTATCATTTTCCACTGCAATAATAATAAAGGTTTTTGTTTTAAATAGCAGTCTCTCAACTTCGCATGTTTAAATAGCACATGTATGAAACCCACACATCAGGAATTTTGTACTTTTTTTTTTAATTCTATCCATTTCATGTTGGTTTTGACAATTCTATTTTTTTCTCATTTAAATTAATTCTGCTTTATTTATCATCTGTGGAATTTTTTGATTAATAGAGAATTAATTTTGGACTGTTCACCATTTTATAATTGATCCATTGATCTACATCTTACACAGTCATTAAAAAATGTAAGGCATTAACATACAAATAGTAGTGAATCACACATTATTTTACACTAGGATTTTATAAGAAATTACAAAAATTACGAAGCCAAACTTCAACATCATGACCCTTAACCTAGTATGAGGATTTAAGCTATTTATGGCAAATCTGAGCAGAAGACCAGATTTAAAAATGTACTCCATTAAGAACTGTTAAATAAAGTGACTTTTTATATATATGAATAGTTCTATGCTAAAATCTAACAACCTTTCCTCCTTCTGGCATAGTTAGCCTGGGCAAATGCTAAGATAACTCTTCTTCAGTTGAATAAGTACATGGTGATTTCAGTCTTAGGTAGAAGCATATATGTTACTGCTTCTTTTATCTTCGAAGATTATTAATTGTAGTATTAGTGCAAGTTGCCAAGTCATTATGCACGTCATTAACAGTACTGAAAAAATGCACAGAATCTTTCCTACTTTATCTAAATTTCCCTTCATATTATGTAGCTCTAGGCCCTCTGTTTCAGCAGTAAATTTTTGTCTGCAAGTTGACTGTTTAAAACAGTGTTAAAATTCTCTGTGCATAAAGCTGTGCTATCTTTAAATAAGTGTTTCAATCTTCTTTTTTTATTAAAACACTAGAGAAAGGTGTTACTTTAAGTTGTTGGAAACGTATTTTCCTCAGTGCCCAGATCATGTTCTCTCCTATTTCTTTTGTAGGTCAGTATTTTTCTGTAACACATTTTTAAATTTTCCATATTCTGTATAGTTTTTTGTAAAGACTGATTTTCTTCAGATAGATGAGATATAGCAGTGGGTTAGGCAGCACATTCCCCTTCAGCCTGGTCTTTTATACTGCTTTTTATACTGACAGGTATCTTTCAATCATATCCACTTTAAGTAGGTAGAAGGTTTCAGATATAATAGTGGGTCTGCAGGCTTAGTTATAGTCTCTCATGGAATAAGGATGTAATTTCATTTAATTGCCACCTTAACTACAGAAATACTCATCCTCTTTTTAATTGCAACTTCAAGAAAAATCACATTAATTCTTGTTTTTCAGATCACAGTCTCTCTCTCCTTATACATCTTGGCTCTCTAAGATCTCAGACGCTGATGCCCTGTTGGCACCAGTGGGCAAAGTAGGTTTGGTTAGTGTGGACCTGGGAGGCGGTGTGAGGCTTTGGGAGACGGGGCTGGACAGCCTCCAGCGGTCGCTGCAGGACTGGAGGAACATGATTGGCCAAGAAGATGGTCGTCCTGTGCAGGTAGGAGTTCACAAAGCTGATGATGCAAGTGAATTTTCGGCTGGGAGAGGGGTCGAGGGAGAGCTGTGTTGAAAAGCACTGTGAGGTAGAAATATGCCTGCGAGAAAAGTTGAATAGACGTCTTAACTGAAAAAAAAGACACAATAGCTTCATTAGAAAGCTTATTTGTGACCCCTGTAATTATGGTTACTGACAGTCTCTTTGTCTTGCAGTGTTTGTATTTTTGCCAAATTCCAGTACATTTAAATGCAAATTAATTCTTTATCTCCTGCTGATTTTTAACTTTAACTTTCAAAATGTAGAATAATGAAATTAATTTTTAAGGAAAGCATATATTTTTTCCAGAGTTCAAATACTTGGAAAAAAATGATTGTGCTTGCACTTTAGAAAAGAAACTTGAAACCTAGGTGAAAGATGCCTCTAGTTAATGGTAGTGCCTTTGGCTAATTTTGAAAATTCTCCCAGCTGAGCAGAGTTACAAGGGTCTCCATACAGCCATGTTCTTATGTGGAATGTTTAGGTAGATGTTGAAAACATACAGCATATACATTTATGCTGTGTGTGCATGTATATATGTATACACAAGTGTTAATGAACTGGCTAATATGTGTGATCACCATTGCAACACAGAGGGAAGATTCAGGACTGTTCAATTGCACCTTTAATTTCTGTTAGTGATTGAAGAAGGTATCACTTTACTTTGAAGAACTAGAGTGTGCTTTAGGAGGACTTCTCCACTTGTGATTAGGAAGATCCTGTCTCTATCTACCATTGCAATTATTTCTATTTCATGAATTTCTGTAACCATTTTCACAGTATATTAGAATGGGAAAACAGGATCAGTCTTTTCTAAATTAGATCTCTCTATATTTTTGTTTACAAGGTATCCAGGTATCTCAAGGCCAAAAACATAGCTCTTCTTTCCCTTTGTTTTCCCACCCTGAGCTTCCCTCCTACAAGATGTTCTGCAGTTACAGAAACTTGTGCAAGAACTGACGTGTTCTTGTTGCTGGACCTCAGCAAATGCCTTTCATAAAAGTCATGAGAAAAGGAAACTCTTATCCAGTAGCACGTTTGTGTGGTTGCTTGTTGCTTTACCCGTGCCATTTTTATTACCAATGCAGTAGCTCTAGCACCATCTTACGGTCAGATATATTCGGTTTACACCAGCCCAATTTCATCTACTGATACAAGCTGACTAGTAGAAATTAAAAGAGCCAGGAGGAACAGTTAGAGTTTTACTTGTTTTAATAGGGGTTTTTTTTCCTTATTTTTTTATCTTTTTTTGATAACTTGTAACTTTATTCATCAGTATTACTGTACTGTCAATCATAGTCAACTACATATTAGAGAATACTGGCTTGGAAAGTACACATCATCAGAAAATTTTAGGTCATTTAACTACTAATGTCAAGTAACCATTTTATAAAAAGGCTGAGAAGTTTTCCCACAGTCACAAAGCAATTTTCCAGATCTGTTGTAGAATTTCTCTCTCGTGACAGTCTGCCTCTCTAATTAGCAGGCACAGGACAGGGTAAAATCTTCTTAGAGTATCTTTCTTCTTTCTATCTGTCAACACAGGGTATATAGCTCAAGTCAGTGGTTTGTCGGAACTCAAAATGGCATACTGCTTGATTTGAGCTGAAGGGTGGAAACAAAGCCTCCTACATGATCTTCATATTTGCGTGATTATCACTAACTTCTTTTTCTTTACTTTACACACTTTGCTTTAAATGGAAAGATAATGAGACCTAAGAAACTTTGTTTACAAAGGCAATACAGAGCAATAAGCAATAAATTAAATCTTTTCTTTACTTTATGTACATCTCAAATAAGATAATAGATATGTAGCTGCTGTGTAAATACTATACTTTGCTATTTGGAGATAAGGGCCTTCACCTTTCCTACTTAACTCAATTTTTTCAATGGACCTAAACATAAAAGTATTTATTAAGGCATTCATTTCTGAAATGAAAGGATCCTCTTAGCTTAAAATTCATGTAGATTCCCTGTGTAAGGTAAGCATAGCAAGTGTTTCCTTTCTAGAGAAAATTACTTTGCTAGGAAAGCTGCAGCTAAATATTTCCTGATACCTGTTTTTACAGAATTGGAGATATTTGCAGCTACAAGTTGATCTGTTCATTCAAGTGTATGAAAATCACCTTCTTTTGTGTAATGTTTCATGCTCATGCTCATGTTAAATATCTTGGAGTCTAATGAGGCATCTCTAGTTCCTTGACTAAAACCATCATTCCCAATCATCTTACAGCAGAAGCTCACTTAAGAAAATTGTCAGTATTCCAGATATCACCAGAATTCATTCCCCACCCACCCCCAATTTCTCCTTCCCTAAAAGCTGCCATTGATGCATCCCACAAAGCTACTACAGGCTTAGCAAAGCTTATTAGCCCTTCATGGTGATGTTCTTAGACTAACACGAGACCTTTCTAGGTGGTTGGGAACCACTGTTCTCCAAAAACACACAGAGTTTCTCTGAAGCTTCCTGACTTTTGAGAGAAAAAAGAATTAGAGGGCTTTCAATATAAATATAGATTCAAAGAACTGGAAACAAATCTTCAACCGGGCTTCAGTTGGAACTATTGGTACTATCTTCTAGGGCTGCATTTGGGCTTTCACAAACACATTAGATCTCAGAAACAGGCTGGATGTACATAAGCAATGAAACAGAGGAAAACAAACAGCTGTTCCACTTACAATCAGTAATTAGGCTCCTTCGATATAATGCCGCGGCAGCCTTCAAAATAGTCAACATTTATTTTGTATTGTTGATACACTCAGCAGAGTTCAAACTACTAAGTCTTGAGGCTACAAAAATAGTTTCTGGAGATATGGTTTATGTTTGCATAAGTTTGCATTTATATAGGCAGGTCAGAAATTTTCATCATTTATTGACGTTTTAAACTCAAAATATTTGAGTACAGTATTCTGAAATTATTAAATTAGAGTGCCTACAATACAATATCTAAACAAAATACTGGATTTTCTAAAGCTATGAACTCTACTTGAAATCTAAAAATTGTTGAGCCTTTTCACTGTTTGGTGTTTCTGAAAACAAGGTCACTTCATTATCAAATATCTGAAAAGAATTTGAAAGACAATTTATTTTTTAAATTTTGCCCTAGAAGTTTCATGGCAATAGGCAGACATTGATAAGTTTGTGTTACTTTTTGCATCAAAGGATTATTGATAGAAATTAAATAGAAAAAAAGACTGATTACGTTCTGATATAGCTGGGCTGTTATTTTTCATTAAGCACTGTATACTATTATGTCTCATTTAGATAGAATACAATGCTTACATAAAAATAATTAAAAGGTGCATCATTTAGAGGTATTTCGAAAGATGGTAAAGCATCGTGCCCTTTAGGCACCTGAAATCTCCTCAACAAAATCTTTTTTCATTTATACGTGATTATCAGCAAAACCATTTATTTCTGTATTCATTCCACTTAATGTTCTCTTGCTGTAGACTGTTGCTCAAAATGTTTTATGCTATGTAAAGATTATACTCAGAATGTCATCGTTTTCAAAAGTCACAGGACATACCCAAATCTGTTGAGTGCATAAAAATGTACTTGGTCAAAGATTACAAAAGAGCTGGCTTGTAATTAATGATAATATATATCTGAACCTCAAAATTGAATCACAACGTTTTTGGCAATCCTTGTGTAGTCTTGATCTGGACAATATCACCATGCAAAATGATATCTCAAAGCTGAGGATAGTCTCTTGTTATTTCAGTACCAAGATTGTCCAAAGAAGTGATCTGATTGATCAAAAAAAAAAAAAACATTGTTGTAATCTGAGATTTATTAGGGGTTTATTTTGGCAGGTTTTTTTGGTATCTGTGTTGTTTGATGTATGTGTGGAACCTGCAGTAGATGCATCATCTCTTACATGCATGAGATGAGTTTTTGCAATCGCAGCGCTATGTGTTTGTGGCTATATATAAAGGCCTAATGAGTTAAGTAGTTGCAACTCTTTCGATTTCCTATGGACTCTTCTCTCTCATTTTCTATTGGCAGTGTAGCAAGCCTTCCTCATAAATGTTCAGGTACCTTGTTGGAAATGAAATCATATTTTCATCTAAGTGAATACTTAACAAGCGAAAAAAAAAAAATTAAAAAAAAAGACTTCTTTCTATTTTCCTATCCTTCTGCTGTAATCCTAAAACAATGCACATGTGCTGGAAGATTCCAGATCTTAAAGCTGCTCAAGGCCTGCCCGTTCTACAGTACACTGCTTCTTCAAGGATGGTTATTGCTTACATCTCTTTGGCCTAGGAAAGAGGCCCACTCTACGTAGGTGTTCTGTACAGTGTGCGTTTTCCTCAGAAGCTTAAAAATCTGAAATGTTTGGCTCAGGCTATATCTGCTGTAAGAGATCAAGTGGGTTTCTTAAATGATCCAGATTCAGCCAATATAATGTCAAGATCACATACTGTAGGCCTGAACTGATGAAAGATACAGCAAATGCAAATAGAGTGGGCACAGCCTTGCTAATACCAGCTGTTTAAAAGTAGATAAAGTACTTGACATTGATAGCTCAGCTACCAGAAGTTTCTTCTGTTTCAGGTGGTAAAATTACACCTATACGCATCCATGAGCAAGTGCATGCACTGTGTAGAACCTGAGTAATAAAACACCTCCATCATCCCAGCTCTTTAGTCTCAAGACTGATGGGTGACACTCAGTTTGAAAAATCATGTACTTTGCAGATGAGTCAGTCCAAAGGAAGCGTGTAAGAGAGATACTGACACCTGCTCGGGGCAGGTTTCTATCCATGGGGTCAACAGCTCAAAACATTTCGACAGCCCATGTCACTGAAGACCATTCACATAGTGTCTATCAGTAATAGTCCACCTATTGGGGCAAACCCTTATTTGGACAATTCCTTAATATGAAATGAGGCCCTTCCAGAGATAAGCAGCAGCCTGGAAATGTTCTCTCCCTTTGTTTTCCCCACTTTGCTTTTGTGACT